AAACTCCATGGGCGGTCTAGCGGTTTGACTCACTAATGTACCGTATTTCCTCGCGAATAAGCTTATTTCAAATTTCGACTAAAAGGAGGGGCCATATTGGAAGGAGGGTACTAAGTCGAGGGGGACACTTAATACGTTTTCCTAGTTTGAACAGTTACTTCAATGGCTAAATTGTTAAATAAATAAATAAATAAAACAAAACAACAACAACAACAACAACAACAACAACGAGGACACCGTCCATTTAAACGTGAAGTCAATATAAATGCATGACTTTCGTTTGTTAGAAACAGTGCTTGATAATCAAGCATACCATATAGTCCATATACTTTAGAAACCTGTTTTCCTTGTACCCCTACCATGAACATGGGCGGTCTTTAGGGGTGGGGCCGAGGGGGGCCACCGCCCCCGCTTTTTCTGTGAAATTTTGTGTTATTATTTTCGTAAAGAATTCATAGTAAATAAAGTATCTATATAACCTGTTAGTGTCCCACTTCCGCTCTCTGGTTTTTTTCGATCCGCTCCCAATGAAGCAGATAAGGTGAAGTCGATGTTACCCTGGAACTAAATACCTCCTTCAGTTCGGAAAATGGATAGTTAAGTAGGGTCAGTAAACCACAACACATTCAGCTTGCAGTTTTATAAAAGTGGAAAAAAAATTGCTGTACTTCAATTATCTCTTCATTAAACTACTTATACTATACCTTTATACAACCGTTAATTATTGCGTAGAGTTCACAGATTTTTTTCGCAACCTTATACCTCCTCAGGGACGCCAAAAGCGTCGAGGCTCAAAAACACCTTTTCGTATCTCTAACTCGTTTCCCTTTTAAAGCACAAAATTGAATCTTTGCTCACTTATTGCTGCTATGTTTGTCTTTAATTTGATTTGAATGATTTTTGTTTTCTCTTGAAAAATTATGGGAATATCACTTATTGGAACCTTAGCGCAAATAAGGCGCTTTTGTAACGTAACTGATTTGGAGACATGGGTAACAAAAAAAATTCACAAAAAAATAACAAACCATCAAATTCTCACCAACTTTCCATCATTAGGTACCTAAGTGATTACTTTAACTGCCAGGAAATTTTCATCACATTTCAGTTAGTCAGAGTGCCATAATCGACTTTTCAAACTCTCGATGCAATTAACGGGCTTTTTGCGAATCCTGAAACCTTTCATCGACATGAAAAGTCATACACATACACGGCAGATTTTTTTGAGCACAAATATCTCCAATTTAAAAGGCTTTGGTAGTCGAGAGAATCGTGTAGCATATAAATGGTAAGGTATAAGCTACAATTTGCCGAAGAAATTGTTTTAAAAGCTTTTAAAAAAGTGCTTACCACGACATATGGCGCATTTGTAACCTCTCGGTTACTTTTCGGTGGCTTATTCTATGCATTTTCAACGTAAGGACTTGCGATTCTCTGTGAATAATACTCAGTAAAGGAGGCATGTCCTACGTAGGTTTTATGGTTTACCACGCTTCTGCTGCGTAGCGTCAGCGAAGCTGGGGATTTTTTGATCAAGCGATTTCATGGTCCGCAATGAAAGACTGATACCATTTCCTTAAACCGATTTTTCACCATTTCCATGCAATGAAGAGATAGAAAAAAATTGAAATTAAAAAAGTAGGAAAAATAAAGAAGAAGAAGAGAAAAAGATCTGGTAAGGCTTTGCGCCTACGTGCTCGGTAATACGAAACTGTTATAATTGAGCAGGCGTTTTTGGTTTGGATTCATCGGGCGGCTCTCTCCTATACGTGCAGACAAGAAATTGGGGGAAATAAGTGGCTGAAAATACAGATCGTTCATAGTCAGTGATTAATGAACATGCTAGGCTGGTTAACGTGGTTCATTGCTGGCCATAAAGGTTTTCTATGATATATTACTGCATTAACATATGTTACAGGTTTTTTTAAAGCCTAATTTTATAAGCAGCGCTTTTTTGTACTTTTTATTGGATTATCTTTTCATTTGTACATTATCGATGTCTGTCACCCTTGTCATTATACACTTAATGTCAAATCCCGAGGGAAGCAGTTAGTTTTGTTTTCCCGAGAGTCCTGATGTTTCCCTCGACGTCGTCTCGGGAAAGATCAGGACTCGAGGGAAAACAAAACTAACTGGTTTCCCGAGGGACCTGACATTAAGTGTTTTATATTTCTAGACTTTCACTTCAAAGGCAACAAAAGAATAGCCGAAGCAAACCAAAACCGTCGACTCGGTAGTTATAATAACACAAATTTAATTCCCAAACCACTGAATGAATGATTTACAAAGTACTGCATCTTTTTCCTCCACTAGCTGCTGTTTCTCTTCTGGGATAACTTTAAAAATCATTGCTTTTTAGCTTGAGGCTTCGTGTTTGTGTTGTTGTGTTCATTCACGAAAAAGAAAACTGGCAGTGTTTTTCCCGTCTTCTGTCACGCCACTTTCCACCATGCTTTGATCACGTACTGTAATGTAGTCCGAGCGGGGTACACTGCTTAATGTATCACGATCGGGATACATTTGATTTTAGTCAAGGCCACGTGCCCAAGAATCAACCAATGGCAGTCCCTGTTTAGCTGAGTGAAAGTCTAGGAATATAACAATATTAATGGTTGATAGCTGACAGCCACAAAAAGAAAGAAAATAGGTCTCCCTTGTAACTTTTTTTAGGGCAATTTCGTTATCACCTTTTGTAAGTTGAGTATATAACTTGAATTCGTGAAAGCACGAAAAATTATTTTGATTGATTTTGGTTAATCTCAAGGTTAATCTCTCGCTAGAAGACCTAGAAGGAAATGAATTTTTCCCCAAAAGTAAATCTTGAGGTTTTCTTGTGCCTTAACGTTGAATTATGGTCACGTGACATCTCACGTGACCAAAAATTGAAAATGAAGGAAATTAGCGTATTGGTGGCGAATTTACTTTGTTTGGATAAACAAATAGCCATTTCTGAAAGGGGATAAACATTCCCAGCTTTCTACGTTTAAATGTACGCGAAGTTTAAAATTGAAGTTTTAAATAATTCAAGATTACATTAGGCATTTAAAATGATGTTTTCCCTCATAATTTTGTGTTGAAGTGCAATGGACGGTAATTCCAAACTTGAAGTGTTAGAAATATTTAATGTGAATTAGAAAAATGTTATTGCTCGATTTCTTTTCTTAAACCGGCCACCAATTGGTCAATAATTTACGATTTTTAGCAACACACGTGACATATCATGTGCCTTATTAGCACAACATATATACTTAAAAATATTAAGGAGGATGAGTTCTTTATGTGTGCCAAATTTTGATTCAGCGCTATCATCTTTGCCGAAGTTGTAGCCAATAAATCATTTTCGACAGGTAAATCACTTAGTCCCAAGCCTTAAACTTCTTGAGATGTTGCAAATGAAGAGCCGCAAATGTCGTTGAATAAACAATTTGTTAAGTTTATCTTTTTGACAGCCTATATACGGTAAGATCATTGTCACTTATATCTTACTTTTTTTCCATTTTTTTCCTTCTCCTACTTTTTTCTGTTGTGATTTAGGCCGTAAATAAAACAATTGCAAACATTTTAAGAGCCCTTCTCAGCTAGTACATATTGCTTTCCCATTTCAGAGTACATGATGTTTTCAAGGAAAAATATTTGTCTTTTGTGTTTTATATTTTATACACATGAGAACAAGCAGGGGCGTAGCCAGGATTTTTCCGTAGGTACGCACAGTTTTCCATCTCACCTCTTCACCCCCGCCCCCCCCCAAAAAAATATCAAAGTCATTTTCGCCTGGTTTCTGCTCTCTTATTTCCCGCTCTTTTCATACACGAACGAGAATTCACTCCACCGCTGACCGACGAAATCACATCGATTCTCTGAAGAAACCGACATTTGGATGTGGAAAAACAATTTTATAGTTCAGGTACAAAAATAAGTAAAAGAAAAGGCTAAGTTAAATGACTGAAAAAAAAAATAAAAAATATATATAAATATAAATATATTTGAAATATATTTTTTATTTATTTTTTTATTTTATATATTTATTTATTATTTTTTATTATTATTTTCAGGTACGCAATTGCGTATTTGCGTACAGGTAGCTACGCCCCTGACAAGGCGTGTATGTATTCGTATTACCCGTACGTTGCTTGTATGGACTCGTAAATGACTCGTATGTTACCCGTATGTACTCGTATGTATTCGTTTGTCATCGGTGTGTACCGTATGTACTCGTTTGTTACTCATATGTAGTCGTATGGTACTCGTATGTACTCGTGTGATGTTTTAGTCACGATCCTCAGACTGGCACACTTGAGTGCCTCTGCGCGGTGTGTTGTGCCCAAGTTGCCGTTATTTGTCTTGTCTCGTCTCGTCACGCACATTAGTTTTTTTCAACAAAACAAAACAAACTTGAAATTGCAACGATTTGACTACCTATCCCCCAGGAAGGGGTGAAAGGGGTACTCGACCAATATTTGGGTATAGGTGAGCCGCTGAGGGTTTGAAACCCTGACCCAGTTTAGGACAAAAAATTCCTAAAATACATACCCTGTTTAGGACAACACGCTCAATTTTAATACCATTCACACTGTTTAGGACAGACTTTCGCGAAACTATATACCCTGTTTAGGACAGACTTGTGCCAAATTACAGACCCTGTCCAGCGGCACATCCCGTCTAGGCCATATAAGGGAGTACCCCCCCCCCCGGACCTATCCATAATAATTGCATTTGACTCCCACTTAACACGGTATGTATTTGTTTTCTTTTATAATAATTGCAATGCCACAAATGCCCTGACTATACTGGAATACAAAGAGCAATAAACGTTTTAAAATTTCCATTTAAGCGACTGACAGACTGACGTCTACTCATATAATTAAATATGATGTGTTAAAAATGGAGGTCCATGAAATCATAGGAATTGTCTTACTACCAGACAGTGCAAGTATCAGGAAATGTTATTTTGAAAGCTCCTTTAACACGGCTGAGGTCTTCAAGTGGGTTTAACATTCTATGATTTATAGTAACATACCCTCAACTATCTTCCGATAGTTAGAAGCACAGATTTTGTCGAAGTTCTTATCATTTTTCAGCTCCGCGAATTTGATCTGCTTTGCTCTCTCGATGCACGCCGTTTCCAACCTATCCAGTCCATAGTTTTCGGCGATGACTAAAAGTTCTAAACAATCTCCCTTCGACACGTAGTAACGCATATTTCCGCATTTACAACGACCTTGGAAACTCATGGCCGAGCCTAAACGACCAATGAGGTATTTTTCACATTTCTCAGTGATCTTAGTCATCATGTACTCTTTAGCAAGGTCAAGCAAAAAGGCATAGTTGCTTCCATCGATCGGTTTTGCAGATGTTGGGTAAATCACCAGCAACATTTCCTTGATTTGAGCTGCTTTCTTTCCCGGAAGAGGAACTTCTTCAGCGGTTTTCTCTTTGAACTGTGAGGTAAACATCGTTGAGAATACTTCGGACCACATACCCAGAATACAGCGATGAACATGAAATCTTTCTTCTTCCACAACCAACAAAACATCACTGAGTTCCCATGGCTTAGAAAAGTCGAGCGAGCCAGCTTGATTTGACATTCTTTGACCAGTACTGTGAAGGAAAATGTGGAAGTGATATTTCTTCGGAGCTACTACGTACCACAGGCCAACCATCTGAAGTCTTCGAAGTATCGTGATGTCACGCGCGACACGTGATCTCATACATTTGATGTATTTTGTAAAGCCCGCTCTCGGCTTGATTCAAGTGATCGGAAGATACAGAAGTTTGCACCGTTTGATCCCAAATGTTAATGTAAGGTAAGAAAGATGAATAAAGATTACTTTCCAAATTTTTTTAGTGTCATCTTCCGCGTTTTTGTGGCGTTTTCATTTGGTTGAAACCCCGGGGTGGGGAGGGGGGGGGCATTTGGGTATTTTTTGGGTGGGTATGTGCCGCCCAGGATTTCAAATTAGCACCCCGTTCTGCAAAAAATTTCCACTAAAATTGATACCCCGTTCTAGAAATGGGCCAATTTTTTATACCCCGTTCTAGAATTCGCTCTAAAACTGATACCCCGTTCTAGAAATGGGCCAATTTTTTATACACCGTTCTAGGGTGCAACAAGAGTACAACAGTTTGCTTGTTAATGCATTGAACCATATTTTTAAAAGCAATCTGTCCTTTATTTCAAATGGCTGCTTACAAAACTGGAGCTTTCGTGCGTTCGAAATATTATACCCCGTTCTAGAAAATGCCTCTGAAATGGATACCCCGTTCTAAATCAGGAGCTTCAAAATCACAACCCCGTTGGGTGGCACATACCCGTATAGGTAATGTATGGCAGTAGCCCCGGGTTGAAACTGACGCGAGCTGCCGACCGTATATTAGTCTCTTGAAACTAGCCCGCGTGGCAGGCGTTAAAAGGGGAAGGGGAAGGGGGAATTTGGGCGCGCGAGAGCGCGCGAGGGAGAAAGGTTCCCCTTCTCCCTCGCGAGCGGTCTCGCGCCCTCAATTCCCTTCCCCTTCCCTTTCGAACGCCTGCCACGCAGGCTACTTGAAACTGACACCCCTGACTAATCCATATATATTTGTCGGGGATCAACCTCGTTCCCAGGTTCTCTCTCTTGAACCCTGGGAACGAGGTTGGTCTGGGATGTCAGTTTCAAGCAGCTAAAAACGCCACAAAAACGCTGAAGACGACCTAAAAACATATGATAAGTAATCTTTATTCATCTTTCCTACCCTACATTGACATTTAAGCAAAAGGTGCAAACTTCTGTGTTAAATGAAGCATTTGTCCCCATCCCTCAAATCAAGCCACGAGCGGGCGTTACGAAATACAGTAATGAGATCAGTTTGCCTGAGTTCGCACCTAGGTGCTTCTTAAGTTTTTCCAGGGTAGTAGCGGCGCAAGAGATCATGGGAAGCTTTTCACGTTTAGCCCTCCTTGCGCCTTTGCGTTTTTGAAGCTTATTTCCATGTTCCTTGCGCCGCGACTGGCATGACAAAAGTAAAGCGATTTTGAGTTGTATTGCTCAGTTGAAAATGTTGAGGAATAAAGCTACAAATTGCAGACAGAAGCTATCTGCTCACACTTTTGCGGCTGTAAGTTACTGTGGAAGTGCGTGGCAAATACATTCTATCCGTGCGCAAATGGTCTCTATCAACTTAAACAAACAATAGATGATAAAGACAAACGTTAGTGGCACTCTTTAGTGCGTTTAATTATTTTTCCCGATTGAATTTGCCGCATTACATTAGTCGCAGGTGCGGATAGGACTTCACTACATTGTAGTCCTCCTAGACTAGCATTGGCGTATTAGTACCACGTGACTGGCCACCTGCAAACGGACTATTTGGTTTACAATGACACAGAAATCATTGCTGTCTCTTTCAGTAAATTTATTATTCATAAATTTCACTTCGATCTATATCTATTAACATCATGCTCGAGATGTGTTTTTGATCGTAGAAAACACTAGATATCGTGAATAAGTAAAAATCGGTCAACGAAGAAAAATCTAAAGCTGGCCCCGCAGCTCGGGTCCCTTACAGTGAAAACCACGGTCCTCTTTTTTTCTAGCGAAAATAGCTATCTGAGGACAAGTGTTAAGGCTTATATATACTTCCTCAATGTATTTTTTTTAGCGAACATCTTGCGCCTCATCTCAGTATTATAGTAATCTCGGGTAGCGTTTAACTGGGCTTCTATTATCATGATAATTTACTAAGAGAAATGCGGATTTGCTCAAAAATCATAACACAAGCCCGTCAATTTATCATGGAGATCTTTCAAAAGACCTGCTAGTTTCCTGAACTCTCCATTTGAACGACTGATACAATTTAGCTTCTCATGTATTGTGGCTGCAAGATAATTTGCCTTGCAAACGACAAAGACAATATAAATAATATTTTCCAGCTCCTTAACCGCGGCTACAGCCTTTTCTTTTGCTCGGGAGTCTCGATCGTCTTTAGATTTTATCATTTGTTCTTTAGTCTTGAGTTCTTCCTCTGTTCTTCTAACCATACCCTCTAAAATCCTTTCACGGTTGGACACAGAAATGTTCTTGTAACTCCCGTCAGTTGTTAGTTTCTGGAATTTAAAACGCATTGCTAACTCAATGCAAGCGCTTTGTAGCCTGTCCAGTCCATAGTTCTGCCCAATATTTAGAAGCTCAAGGCACTTGTCTATGAAATCTTTCTCAGGGTCAAACGCCGGAAACTGCCGCGGGAACTGAGAAGCCTCTTTTTCTAAACGAATGACAAACGGATTCTGCCCCAGCTGAAACTGAGAATTTTCTTTTTCTAATCTAAGGATCAGGTAGTTTTCGCATTTTTCAGTAAGCTTCATCATCTTGTACTCCGTCGCGAGGTCAAGAAGGAATGCGTAGTTAGTTTGATCGATCGGTTTCCCAGACGTAGGATAAATGACCAACAGCATTTCCTTAATTTCAGCTGATTTCTTTCCAGGGAGAGAAAAAAGGTTGTCGGTTCCGGCAGCAAACATCGTCGTGAAAACGGGGACCACATTCCCAAGATATTGCGATGAAAATGAAATCTCTCTCCTTCCACAGCTAACATGGCGTCGCTGAATTGCCATGGTTTGGAGAAGTCTAGCGAATCTCTTGCGTTTGACATTGTTTGGAGCACTGATGGACGACGAAATCACGAAGGGCAACAATGAAGCGCAACCAAAAGCACGCTGGGGTAGACAAAACGCTACTGCGAACGCAGGTGTTTAATATTAAGAAGTGAAGAGAGCTCGCGAGGAACGATTGGAAGTGGAAGACCTCGTTCTCGTTGCCAGATCTCCCACGGTCAGGCCAAACCTACGGGCAGACGCCAATGAGAACTTTTAACATTTATTAGCATTATTAGCGATTATGTCTGCTAGCAGTAGCCGCGACCCTATCTCTTCCTTTTCTTCTTTCCAATTCGAGTCGTAAATATGCAAATGATCTCAGATGGGCTGTCATGAAAAAATTTAAGAGAATAGAGTGCAGCGGTAAAGACATGGGTGGGGTAGCTCAAGTGCTGTGGTGATCCAGAGCGCTATAACACTGGAGGGAGCTTAACTTCCGGCAGGTTTAACCTTGCCAGGCATGAGGCTAAAGGGTGGCAGCCAGACCAAATCATATCCTAGTAAACATCAATGATATAAGAATCCTCGGTATAGACATGAGTGCTGCCGCAGTGTATATGGGTGGTCATTGAGAAACTCAGGTTTATTACCTTCATCTGCACTGATCGGTGACGGAATGTAATCCAGTGAGAAAGTAAGTACGGCATTACGACAAATCGTTTCAGTGTTTGAAAGAACAATTAAACTACAGGAGAGGTGCTTCTACTTTTCTCGCACGGAACTATCAATCAATCAATCGATCATTTATTTTGACACTTTACGTCGAGGAGCTATAAAACTCGTTCAAAATACGAACGTGTAAGGTCAAAGGTTAAGCTGTTAAAATATCGTGTGGAAAGGATCTTTTAAACCATACCCGAAAGAGCAAGATAAAGTCAAACAGGCAGAGAAAAACGCCAAAAAAATTAATAGAATAAAATAAAATGAACACAATGTAATAATAATAATAATGGCAATTTGTCGGAAATTGAGCGAATGGGTTAAGCAATTACCCTGTTATCTGGAAAAAAATCGTATTTGAGCTACCTTTCATGCGCGATTTCCTGAAAGACATAAACAAGTCTATAGAGTTTTCGTAAATATCTGTATCGAAGGATTAAGCGGTATTTCACAGCTTAGGAACTACAACCTTGAAGGATCGATCGCTACAGGATTTTAGCGGTGACATGGTACAATTTTATTTTGTCTGATATTGTATGTGAAAAGGGAAAGGAAGCTAGTGAAGACTGATATATACTTTCCCGTTTTGATACACTTTTAAGAGCGTTTTCAAATCGACGCGTTTTCGATTAAAACGCTCCGCGTATTAGTGTGGTGTAGACGGAAGGTAAACGCATCGAAATATACGCGTTTTTAAAAGAAAACGCGTTGGTGTAGACGCCACCTATGGTGCAGCACATGCAAATTGTCACGCGTGAATTAGCCTCTACAATTTGAGCCTGAAAAAAGCGTGACTATGCCAAAAGCAAAGCCTTGAAAATACGCTTTTTGAAAAGCAACTTCAAGATTGACTCTAAACTGGCTATTTTCTCACCATAAAGACAAAAGCAAGCTTCTTGTCCCTTCCCCTCCCTTCCTTTACAGTCTCCCCTCCCCTCCTTAAACTGTACGGATGGACAGGAAAGCTGGCGTATAGACCTCTTTCGTAATGGCGGCCAATTAATATATTCTTTTATATGTGTTATAATTAGCCTTTCTAACCTCGTTATCATTTGCAAAATATAAAAGAATTCTTACTTTCAAACGAGGTCAGAAAGGCTAAGTATCATACATATAGAGCGTTTTCACTCACGTGGCCAGCATCTACGCAAATTTATTGAAACAAAAGAAAGCGTTTGCATAAGAAAAGAGTTCAACTCCCACAGGACTGATTTGAGACACCAACATGGTGCGATTGAAAAACTACACTTTCCACAAGTCGACCTCAGAATTTTGTTTTTTCTTCTTTTTCTCTCAGAGTCGAGTGCGGGCGAGTTCTGAAGTTCAAACCCAAACAACCTGTTACATGTACGCTGACCGGTCAGCGGTCAGCGAGCCAAGATGGCTGCCTAATTTTGTGCTCTACAAATTTATTGCAATCAAGGTTATATTCTCTCATATTTTCCATTATGAGACCAAAAAGGAAACCTCCTAAGGCTAATGATGCTGTCGATCCAACTGATTCGACTTTTGAAGATCACCGGGATAAATTAGAGATCAAACTTAACGAGTGGGTTAAATCATCACTCCCGGGCCTCGTTACGAGCATTATGCAATCCTCTTAGATAAATTAAACTTCTATGGTATTCGTGGCACACCTTTTAACTGGATGCATAGTTATCTCCTCTCTCGCTCTCAATATGTTCAAATTGATTCCTGGAAATCTCCACTGCTTCCAATTAAATGTGGTGTTCCTGAGGGTTCTGTGTTAGGGCCACTTTTATTTCTTATATAAATTAACGACATTTCATGCTCTAATTATCTCTCATTCATCCTTTTTGCAGACGACACTAATATTTTCTTTCAACACAAAATATCTCTGAACTAACTAAAATTGTGAACCATGAACTTTCTTTTGTGGCTACCTGGTTCAAAGCTAACAAGCTAACTTTGCATCCCGACAAGACTAAATTTATTTTGTTTCACCCTGCAAGAAAGAAAATAGATTTTGATGGTCTTTCTATTAACATTGATAAGAACAGTATTAATAGAGTAGAACACACAAAATTTTTAGGTGTTATCATCCATCAAAACCTCTCATGGCAGGCTCATATAAAAGCCATTTCTTCCAAAATTACCAAATCCACTGGGATTATTATCAAATCACGACAGTTTTTCCTTTCTAATACTCTTTGCACATTACACAACTCTTTAATACTCCCATATCATCAATACTTTTCTATTTTTTGGGCATCCACATACTCTTCTCATTTACAACCCTTTTTCAGTCTCCAGAAGAAAGCTTTAAGAATCATTACTCATTCTCCACCACGTGCACATACTTACTCACTCTTTAACTAATTCAAAATACTCAACATATTTAATATTTATAAGTACCAAGTTTCTTGCTTTGTTTTCCTTCACATGCAGAAGCTCTTGCCCTCTCCTCTTTCATCTCTTTTCGTTCTTAACTCTGATTGTCATCAATATCTCACCAGGCAAAAAGACAACTTACATCTCATACTCACAAATATTCTTTTTCTCTTCGGGTACAGGGTCCTCAAATTTGGAATGACATTCCTCTCTCACTTCGTAATTCACTTACTCTTTCTAGTTATAAACATAAACTGAGAGATTATTTTCAATCATTATAAGTTTAAACCAAGTTGAACTCAATTTTTTTTTCTTTTTTCTCCCTTCAAACTCTTTTCTTTATTACTTTTTGCATACTATCATTAATTGTTATGTTTATTTTGCTTTATATGCAGTAATAATTCGTTATATGTTGTAATAGTTTGCCTTTTCTCTGTAAATCTTGTACTTATTAATTTTCATTCTCATCGTAACGTAGCAGCACATTGTAACTCTCTGACCTACGCCATATAAACCTCTGGCTTTGGCATCTTATTATCGTTAACTTGTGCTTTGTGTACTTATTCATCAATAAAGAAAGATTTTGCTTCCATTAATGAGTAGTCAAACTGAGGTCAGTGTATGTGCGGTGATTGGTGGATTTCGATCCCCGGCCTTTGTCAGTTTCTTTGCGTTTGCGGTCTGTCTATTCAAGGTGCTATTTTGATTAAAGGCAATTAAAAACGCAATCGTTAACGGCAGGAAAAGGATCGAAAAGGGAAGAAAATACGATTGAACACAACAGACAAGAATAAAGAAGAGGTAGATTTTGTTCATAAACCAAATCAACATTTAATTATTGAATCGAGGTCCAATTTGATCGTTGGATTATTCATTTTATGAATGGATTATTGAATCAACAAACGAATAATGAATTCATTAGTTTGCTAGCAACGGGAACGCTTGACCTGGTTTGACTGTAATAGAGGATTTACGGTATGTAAGATATGTTTAGGTACATTATAATAATCATATATGAAGTACCTACCGCCTTGAGATGGTAAGCCGCTGTTCAAAAACTTGTGAGCTCAAAACACCGTAAAATCCGGACTTATAATCATGAAGGGGCTTAGTTTTGGGGGTGCTTATATTCGGTGGGGATTATACAGGGACGAAAATTTGCGTTTCAAAATCGGTTAGGCTGATACTAGGAGAGATATCTGCTCCGTCTCGGGAGCCTTATCAAACCGTAAGCGCGGTTTTAATATTTCATCTTAGGTATTTTGAGAACGGACCTCTGGAGCCAGGGTACGTCTCCGTATATATCCACCACTATTCAGTTCCCATTGGAGGATATCCGGAGGTATATTAGAGTTTTATATCTTGGAATTTAATTTGAAACCTCGTTTACTTTTATAATTCAAAGACGCTAGTTTAAATACTTAATTCTGTAAGCAAAACGAAACAATTCAAGGTCATAAATTAAAATAACGTTTCTTGTCTCAAACAGGGTAGCAAAATGAACATTCTTTTTCTTTTAAAAGGGTGAGGGTTTGAAGGTGTTGTTAGCCTCCCACGCAGATGTTCTTAGGGGTTCGTCACGCGTTCCTGTCCCACTAATGGGGCCCTAGAACACGGTCTGCGTGGGAGGCTAGGGTAATGTCGTCACGCACATTAGTTTCTGTTTTGAACAAAACCGAAACTTGAAATTACAACGATTTGACTACCTATCCTTAATAATTGAACATGATTCCCACTTTACACGGTATATTTGTTTTCTTTTTAACTGCAAAACCAAACATGCCCGTGCCCTGACGTACTGCATTACGAAAGGAGGTAGACGTTTTAAAATTTCCATATGAGCGACTGATAGAGTGACGGCGTTCCACATGTATGATGTTAATGAAGGTCCATGAAATAAAAGTTGTCTTGCTACCAGACAATGCAAGTATCAGAAAATGTTTTTCTTAAGCTCCTTTAACACGGCTGAGATCTTCATCAACCTTTTAAAGTTAATTAGAAAGGCTGACCTTGTAACATACCCTCAACAATCTGCCGATAGTTAGCAGCACTGATTTTGTCGAAGTTGTTGTCTTTCTTCAGCTCCGAGAATTGGATATCCTTTGCCCTCTCGACGCATTCGCATTCCAACCTATTGAGTCCGTAGTTTTGGGCGATGACTAAAAGCTCTAAGCAATTTCCCTTATTCACATACTGACGCCCCGGCCTTCTATTACCACACGCACATGTAGTATAGTAATAATCGGGCGTGCTCAAACGACTAATCAGATAGTTTTCACATTTCTCAGACATCATGTATTCTTTAGCAAGGTCGAGTAGGAATGCATAGTTGCTTTCATCGATCGGTTTTGCAGAGGTTGGATAAATCACCAGCAACATTTTCCCTTGATTTCAGCTGATTTTTTTCCCGGAAGAGGAACTTCTTCGGCTGTTTTCTCTTTGAATTGCGCAGTAAACATCGTGGAGAATACTTCGGACAACATCCCCAGAATACAGCGATGAACATGAAATCTGTCTTCTTCCACAACCAACACAACATCGCTGTGTTCCCATGGCTGGGAAAAGTCCAGTGAAACAGCTGGATTTGACATTCTGTAAACAGTACCGTGGAGGCAAACATGGAAGTGATATTTGCTTTATGTCAGGACTTTTTAACGACTTTAGGTCAGCACTTTTTAACATCTTTAGGCCAGCACTTTTTAACATCTTTAGGTCAGCACTTTTTAACATCTTTAGGTCAACACTTTTTAAAATCTTTAGGTCAGCACATCTTTAGATCAGCACTTTTTAACATCTTTGAGTCAGCACTTTTTAACATCTTTTAACATCTTTTCTTTAGACCCGCCTTGTACCTAGGCCCTACTTGGAATAGTGTAGTCACAGCCCAAGGGGACATGGGAAGCTTTTCACGTTGACCCTTCCCTTGCGCCTTTGGGATTTTGAAGCTTTCCCATGATCCGTGCGCCGGGACTAACATGACAAAAGTAAAGCGATTTTGAGTTGTAGCGCTCAGTTCCAGTTGAAAATGTGAAGGAATTAATAAAGATACGAATTGCAGACAGAAGCGATTCGGCTGTTTATACCTTTACAGCTGTATTTACGGTGGAAGTCCTTGGGAAATATATTCTATCCGGCCTTGCGCAAATGGCCTCTGTCAACTGAAACAAACAATAGTTGATAAAGACAAACGTTAGTGTCATTCTTTAGTGCGTTTAATTTTTATCCTGATTGAATTTGGCGCATTACATTCTTGCTGCTATATGGTGGAAACATAAACAATGTTGTTACATTCCTAGACTTTCACTCAACTTAAACAGGGACTGTTATTGGTTGATTCTATCTCTTCTTTTTCTACATTCCGGTCGGAGTCGTAAATATGCAAATTATCTCAGAAGGGCTGTAATGAGTGCAGCGGTAAAGACATAGAGAGGTATCTGATTCGTTATTATTACCTTGTGAGGTAATACCTTGTGATGATCCGGAGCGCTATAACACTGGAGGGAGCTTAACTTGCGGTAGGTTTAACCTTTCAAGGCATGAGGCTAAAAGGTAGCAGCCACACCAAATCATATCCTAGTAAACTTCAATGATATAAGAAATCCTCGGTATAAACATGAGTGCTGCCGCAGTGGATATGGGTGGTTATTGAGAAACCCAGGTTTATTGGCTTCATCTGCACTGATCAGTGACGAAATGTAATCCAGTGAGAAAGTAGGTATGAGATTACTAACGCTACATTTACTGTTACACTTCCGCTATAACGCGTACATGGAAAAGCTTGATTTTCTGCACGGTTGTTGTGCAATCAATGTACGTTACAGCGAGTATATAATTTCCGGATAAAGCTTTGATGTGAAGAAATAAATCATTCGTTGTCAACGAAATGTAGTGTAGATGAAAGACGCCATTTTTCCCTCCTTTTCACTGAAAATCATAAAGTTTCGATCTCACTTACCTCTACAATAAAACTGCATTCACCGTAATACACAGAGCTTTTAGAGATGCACATGTTCTAGAGTTTCCTCTGAGGTTAAGATTGACTGGTGAAATTTCATCGTTATTGAACAAACAACAACTCTTTAGCGTTAGAACGTAATTTTTGAAGCACAAAATTTCGCCACATGTAAGGGAATCCGGGTTCCTTTATCCGGGAAATTTTCCCATGTGGAATCCGGAATCTTGGAACTTTTTGCTGGTGGAATCCGGAATCTTGGGCCTTGGAATCCGGAATACAGATGTAGAAATCCGGAATCCCACTAACAATTGGAATCCGGAATCCAAGTTCTACTTAAAAAAGGTCTGGAATCCGGTAATTGGAATCCGGAATCCACAGCGTGGAATCCGGAATCCAGAACTGTCTTATATTCCCTTACATGGGGCGAAATATTGACAATGCACGATACATAATATCGTGCATTGAGGCTCGATTATCGTTCTCTGTCATTTCGTGCATCGTGCCTTTGGCCTTGAGGCACCATTTATGCACGATAATGGCACCATTTAAGCACTGTGAAAGCAAGATTTTAAGTAAGATAAATGACCCATTTAAGCGGGAAGAGAGGGGCATTAGTGATAATACCTTTAGAACAAAACCTTACTCCGTGCACGATCTAAGAAGGCTCGCAAAAATTGCGTTGTCTTATACCCTGTATGCAATCTGCTGTCTGCAGTCCTTGTTTTAGACTGACGAATTTCATTTCTCTCTGTCCTAAACTAAGCATCGAGTCGGACTTACCTCACACAAGTCGCCGTAAACTTTCCTAACTCAAGTCTTCTTTCATCCTCATATTCTAGCTGAATTTAACCCTTTTTTCAAGGCGAATGTACTTTAAGCAAATGGGGAAACGGGGGCAATCGACTCTTCGACGGGTCGGCTCTTCCATTATTTTCCCAGTCTCCTCGAAACGCATGCGCGACAAAGGTATGACCTCAGTCTCGATCAAAGCACGATCTGTTGCTCTCATATGTTGTTAATGAAGGCCCATGAAATAGACTGGAGTTGTCTTACTACCAGACAATGCGAGTATCAGGAAACGTTATGTTCAAGCTTCTTTGATTCGGCTGAGGTCTTCAAGTGGGTTTAACATTCTATACGTTATTGTAACATACCCTCAACAATCTTCCGATAGTTAGCAGCACTGATTTTGTCGAAGTTTTTGTCTTTCTTAAACTCCGCGAATTTGATACGCTTTGTTCTCTTGATGCATGCCATTTCCAACCTATCCAGTCCATAGGTTTGGGCAATGACTAAAAGCCATAAACAATTTCCCTTCTTCACATACTGACGCCAATTTCCACACACACATGCACCAATGCAACTCTCGGCAGAACCCAAACGACCAACGAGGTAACTTTCACATTTCTCAGTGATCTTAGCCATCATGTATTCTTTAGCAAGGTCGAGTAGGAATGTGTAGTTGCTTTCACCGATCGGTTTTGCAGACGTTGGATAAATCACCAGCAGCATTTCCTTGATTTCAGCTGATTTCTCTCCCGGAAGTGGAACTTCTTCGGCTGTTTTCTCTTTGAACTGTGAGGTAAACATTGTGGAGAATACTTCGGACCACATACCCAGAATACAGCGATGAACGTAAAATCTGTCGTCTTCCACGACCACCACAACGCCACTGAGTTCCCACAGCATAGAAAAGTCAAGCGAACCAGCTGGATTTGACATTCTCGGAACAGTACTGTTATATTTTGCTTCAGACCTGCCTCGTCCCAGGCGTTTCTTAAGTTTTTTCCTGGGGTAGTCGCGGCGCAAGGGGTCATGGGAGGCTTTTCACGTGGGCCTTTTGGTTTTGAAGCCCTTCCATGATCCGTGCGCCTGAACTAACACGACAAAAGTAAAGCGATTTTGATTTGTATTACTCAGTTCTATTTGAAAATGTTAAGGAATAAAGATACATATAACAGGCAGAAGTTATCTGTTTATACTTTTGCAGCTGTATTAACGGTGAAAGTGCGTGGGAGATACATTCTTTCCGGCCTCGCGCAAATGGCCTCTGTCTTAAAACAAAGAATAGTTGATAAAGACAATTGTTAGTGTCACTCTTTAGTGCGTTTAGTTTTTTGCCGATTAAATTTGCCGCATGACATCTTTTGCTGCGACATCATAGGAACCAAGAGCCGTTATGGCTCTTGGTAATACGTGAATCAACATTGGAGAAGGTGACACAAGTGTTCACAATTGTTTCAGTAGTCCAATCCAATACGGATTTAAAACTGAACGATGTCAGGGTTCTATCTAGGATAGTTGAAGGATAGAAGTTTCCCCCCCTCAAAATGCCCAGCTCCCCCTCCCCCCAAAATATTATCATTACAGTATATAAGTAACTGTAACGGAAAAATCATCCAGACTCGACGAGGTCAGTGTGTCTCAAAATACACCAGATTGCATCTCAATGCAAATTCATTTCAAAAAATTTCCGGGGGGGGCATGCATGTAGTTTTCTTTTTTTCTGCTGTAACTTATTGGTTATGATGTGCTATAACTGTGATTTAATACAATGCAAACGTTTACGATTACGATCCGATTTCCCATCGTACCGATATGAACATTTTTGCCTTTCAAAAAAAGACACTGTTGTAATGGAACATCGAAATAGATTTATTTGCACAAAGACGATCCCAGCGTAAGGTCTCTCTTAAGGTGGCTCGACTGGATTTTTTAGGGAGTATGCTTCCCCACTTTGAGTTTTTACCACGCCGGCATCAACAAAGATATCGGAAAAAGGTTACCCAAGTTGCACCATATAAAGATGACATTTTGTTGTGATCCATGTTTTATTGACATCAGAGTTACCATGGGAACATAATGAGGCCATTACGTTTTTTACTTGCCTTTGTATTTCTCGGTAAGAGGAGTTTCTTTCAGAAATAGCTTCAGGGAGCTTGTACCTCCCTTAGTTGCCTCGGTTGTGGCAAAGTTTGAACTAATTCTATGAGAGCGTTTGGGAAACAGTGAATAAACATGCTATCGACATAACTAGCTAATATCTAAGAAAATGATAAGGTCTGGAAGTGCAGTTTTATCTCATAGTGGTTAGACTTCATCTGAAACTTTGCACAAAAAAAAGAGGATGATTGCTTTAGCCGATTGCGATAAAGAGGAATTTGGTTAGCCAACGTTCGGCTGCTTTCTTTACCATTTTTGTATGTAATTTGATCCACGCCTACAAATTTCACGGTTATTTACAAACAGCTCGATAAAATTTTTTAAAAATTTGACAATCCCGTTTACAGCATACATCTCCGCTAAGATTCAAGGACATTGAAAACAAGGAAGGTAATTAAATGGGGCTTCAAATGTTCCCCCAGTTTTTGTGTTTACAAGTGAGCATCCCTCATTAGTATATACACACTCTGTGATCTTGGTGATTTAAGCAATCTGATTGGTTCGCTATCTCGGACTATTCAACAACATTCACCTCCTAGCTAGTTGACAAAATCCTAGGGTTGACTCTTTTTTAAGGCAAGAAAAGGCTTGGAAGGATTCAAAGCGGCGATTTTCCATTTACTGTAGCTGAGTTTTGTGCTCGATGGATTGTTTACAGCTCCCGTTTATTCGCGTAGAAGAAGCCGTTTCGTGAACTTAACGTCTCCTAACAAGAAAATTATAAACAAATTTGAAAACAAATGTTTGCAAAAATTCTACGTTTCAAGTAAATAGGAAAAAGAATGGTACAGGAAGACGACGTCTTACCTCGAGGAACCGAGCCGACATTTTTGTCAGCACTTCATGCGAAGAACGACACAACAAACCCTTTTGGCAATAAACTTCTTCTCAGGTAAGGAAACAACTCAAACTTTTAACGGTTCCATTTAAGCCATTACGCTGTTGTTTGCGAAGTGATAAACTTGTGTGCATGAATTGCCATGTTTGTAAAATTCTGCAACTGAAGGATCTGTTATTAAACTTTCCCGTGTTTTGATCCATCAATCAAATTCTACTTTTTAATGGTTTCCTTTCTGATTTTTTTGAGATCACTTCGTGTGTATTTACTAAAACAATTATTCTTTTCAATCTCGGTGAATAGTGGCTTTAGGAAAATTTACCTCGCCGCTTCGCGCTTCGGTAAATATTAGTTTGACGTTGACATAGCTGCTTTGCAGCTTGCGAGTCCCTCATCCTTTTATACCTATCCTAACTCTATTTTGAGGTTGACATAGCTGTTTGACAGTTTACCAGTCCCTCAGTACTAATACTTACCCTAACAACTAAGTCAACTTCTTGACCTTAAATCTTCTTTTGATTTTTCAGGTAATTGATTTAATTTAATCCTATCTTTATTAGGATTTCAGTTATTTATTTTTCAGCGAACTTCATTTTTTGCACTTCTTTGAGGTAGACATAGCTGCTTTTCAATTTGCCGGTTCCTCGTTATCAGTGCTAATCTTAACATCTAACTTTCTTGTTCTGCTTTATACACACAACACTGCTGTATACACGAATCCTCCCTCCCCACCTTACCCACTATTTTAGTGGAGACTTGGGAACCCCTTCATTAGGGATTCCATACCACACCTGTAATGCCACCAATTTTGCAAGGCAGTCCCGAATCCAGACCTTGAGATAAGTGACGGTCTCCAAATTTTTTTTTGGCCCTTCGGGCCTCAGTTTGATCGAAAAAATAGGGCAGGGGGGAGGAGGGGTAGCGGGCCCCTCCCCTAGGTATATCTATTGTTCTTTTACAGAGCAGATGGTTGTACAGAGTAAACGCGTTCTTTTAATTAATCTTATTTTTTTCATTTAGCTTACATGCAGAAATGGAAAAAATAAAAGAATATATAGCAAATACCCGGGCGTTAAGACCTAATGTCTCCGTCAACAAGTAGAAAAAGAGCCTGTATAGCCAACTCGCTCTTAACCCTGTAAGACCTAAGAGTGATCAGCATCAAATTTCTCCTTGTAATATCAATGCCTTGTAAAACAAAGTTGTCATGAGAATTAAGGACATGATCACACAAGATGAATTTGCTTGATATTTTATCAACTTCTCCCCACTACTTCTGTAGGAAATGAATAGAGGCAAGAAATAAGAGTTCAAATGTTGATCTTAAGGTTGCTCCTGTAGAGTTATGAAGAAAATATCAAACAATTTCAAAAGGGATCACTAACCGTAGTAGTTTGGGGGGTGATTATTGCAGGCATAGCAATTAAAATAGTTTCCATCCATGTCTATCCTTGCCATCCGTTGCAAGAGACGATAGGAAACAATTTCAATACCTAAATGGGGCGATTTTCGTATGTCCTTGAAAAATGCATGATTTCCGTAAGTGTTCGTTATTTGTTTAATCAGCCATTGAATGAAAAGATCAATCATGGCCTCTTCGTTTTCCCGCCAAAGAAAACACTAATATGGAGAAGGAATGGTTCGATTGGCCAATCGTGTTGCAGTATGACGTAAAAGCGAAGTGTGGATGGATTTCTAGAAAGTTCTCCTCGGGCATGACATTTTTTCACCCGAGCGTTCGCTTAACCAACCAAAAGCAACGCGCGTTTATATCCGTTCGACAAACTAATCAAATCGCTCTATTTCCGTTCGTTTGTTGTTTCTACTTTGTTCGCGCGTTTTCATTTCAAGGTCATACGAAAAGAGAAAAGTGTGAGAAAAGTTTTGGGTTTTTGAAAAGATAGCAAACAGCTTGACAAAGCCTGTGGCCTTTTAAGGCTGAGCGAGGGACTGGGTCGGTGTTGTGTCGTATTGGGACGCTGTCATTACTTTCATCGGCTATAACAACGTCGCGCAGCAACCTCGGGTCAAAATTAGTCTCCCGAAACAGCCTTTAGTGCATTTCGACCAACATCTACCCACTCTGAGCGTCACCTCAATATGGCTGATAGACTCTAAGGGCACATCTGCCTGAGACACACCCTGGTCGGTCCTGTTATTTCTTTAACCCCTACGAGACCGACACCACGCGGCCCCAGCGATGCTCTCCTGAGAAGGATCACACTGTTTATTGTTCACGTGTTTATAAAAATGATAATTACAAAAATTACCCATTCAAACAAGATAATTTTGCGCTCTGTTAGAGGGTGTCAGTGGAGTATACCTCTAGTCAGAGAGTTAACAGTTATAAAGTCCCTCTTCGGCAGTAGACATCAGAAATGGGCTTAGTCAGATGATTTCTTTCGTGTAAATTATTTGTCGCAGATCATGAAATCAAATATCAGCATTGCAGCAGAAGGAACGAGAGCCTACAAATAGAAAAATCTAAAATGAAGCTCGAGTTAACCAGAATTATTCAAGGTTGTGCACAATATATGTCACTCTTCTCACAATATGTTCAAAGTTTGAACAATTCGTATACGCTGTGAATTAATAAATGCGATTCCCTTTCATATGATGGTCGGTTCAGGGGTATTTTGTTACCGCTTCGTCAGCAGCAAAAGATTATACAATTAACCCCATTGACACCCTCTATCATTAGAAATGCCATATGATTAAAGGGACTGGTTCACGATAATGCGCATGCGCGCCGTTTGTCTCTTCAGAATAAATTTGTTGGGTCAACACTAAATTCGAAATCGCCATTACCGGTACAATCATTGAAAATCCTTCGTTTTATTCGGACATCTGTCGCTTTGGCTGGTCTAGTTATACTTCGGTAGTGGTGATTAACGTGTGGTTGTGTTGTTTGACTGGTTGCGTTTTAAGAAGACGCAAAAAATAATGTTTTGATCATGGAGGTTCAGAAAAGCATCGTGGCTGTCTGGCAACAGGACTTTCTCAAGAGTCTCTGGAGATAGAGAAGCTTAGCCTATCGAACTGGTATGGTTCTAGGAGTAGTGTGTGGCATACGAAAAGAATACACGAGACTTGGAAAGTGGTTAAAGGCATGAGTTCGTTCAACTTTGATTTGATTTTTGACTCTGACCTGTAGTTATACCGCAACAGGCCGCGCGATCTTTACCGATCTGGTACACTTGAAATGTTCCTTGTATCTTTGCTTTACGATCGTATATGTTTAAGAATTGATGTTTTTAAAATAAATTATTGCCTGAATATTCTGTATATAATCTAGTTTCTTTATGTGTGCTACTCGATAACATTTGTTTTGCGGAACATTGACCCGATGCAACGCGAATGAATTTGTTCATTTGCTGATAAGCAATTGAAATTTATGCTCAATTAAGGATAATCTTTATACTCATACGTTGTGTGTTTTTGTCACCGGTCAGGCGCTGTTTGTAGGTATTTCTGGGTTTATATAAGGCGAACTGAGAGAACCGTAATAAAATGTTTGTTTACAAATTTTGTTTACCGATCGGTGACTGTTTTGTTAGCGTGGGTACGACCTCGTAAAAATACACGTTGGTGAATGGTAAATGTTTGTTTCAAAGCAGGACAGGGCTGTAAATCTTATTCTTATCGGCTGCAACATATATCTGAGGACTAGCAAAGAATAAACTTGAATTATGGGGATAAATAAATTCAAACCAAATGCCCGGAAATACTCTCACGTCGCGAACAATTAATTTGAATTTTGTAAATCTACTTGCGTGCATCTAACTCGCTTCCGATTGGTTGAAATACAATCAGCTACTGTCAGAACTCACACATGCGCATTATCGTGAACCAGTCCCTTTAAGTTAAGAATCCAAGTGTGGGGGTACAGATTTTGAAGGAATTGACAAACAGGACTTGGCAGTTGAACTTGGTTTAATCTTCTTCTGTGCAACAATGACAAGCTTGACCAGAACTAGAACTGAATACATCCTAGCTTACAGAGTGCTTCTATTTATAATGAAAATATCAATTTAATTAAGTTTAAGCAAGATCAATGGCATCAATATGCAGAAAATAGGTGTTCAAAAGTGTTTATAAGTAAAGGATCAAAAGAAACCATAACTGAACTGTTTCCAGCCACTACTGTGAAAATTTTGTAAAACCAGTCATACCTTCATGACCGAATTGCTTTGCAAGAATTGACATCGCTAGTCAGAAAGGTATCAAGTTTTTCCGAGATTCTATCGAAACAGATTTTAGTTTTAAGTTGGTAAAGCGAGTGAAATTTGCTTAAAACTGGTTCAACTAGGAACAGAGAAATTAAAAGGTGTCAAGCGCGTGGCTCAACCCAAGTTTTAATGACTTAGAGAAATTCGAATTTAGGGGTAGGAGTGGGCAAAGTTTTCCGCCTCAAATAACAAGATTCGTTGGAGAAATTGGTTCGTTATCCTCTCCACAGCTGAAAACAAGTTCCTTTGCGGTAATAAAGCGGCTTTTCGGCACAAGGACCGATTCATGCCTAGGTGTTATTCTAAGTCATAGTAGGTTTCAATTATACACAGTGGAAAATTAAAGTTTCCAAGACTAAACCGTGCATTCAACTATTTTTGTATATTTTTAACCCCAATGTTGAAAAGACGACCATCTCCAAAACCCTTCATCAAGAGAGAACCTAACAACGTTGGTTTGGTATCAGGGTCACAAATCAAAGGTGTGACCTGCTGCCTTGTTTCGAATTTAACTCGTGTTTTCCAATGGATAAATAAATTGTTCTAACACGTTCTCTTAAAATGGCTTTGGAAACGGCCTAGTAGAATATAGATACGTCACATTACAGGAAGATAGATATTTCCCTTCACCTACATTAGATATTGCCTTTACATGAGGTATCGAGTTGAGGACCGAAAAAGAAGTAGTTTCGTTAAACTAAACAACCAAATTGTGTTAATTAGTGTTCAAACAACTTTATTATACACCAAATTTATTATTGGGATGTGGGAGTTTCAAACTAGATAACAGCTCCCTTGTCAGTCCTTCCTCGGTAGAAATACAATGATAGGTTAAATACGGTGAGCGATTATACTAAAGCAAGAAAGCGTAAATGGATAAGATAAGTGGATACGCATAGACTGTGACTAATTCACATGTGGCGGCGGTGGTCAAAGGTGTGCATCAGAGTTCCTTTAGGTATTGCCTATTATCGATACGATCTCATGTGTTCTTATTTTGGACTATAATTTTGAGGTAAGAAAAACCGGTACCTTTGACTAACGCCTTGTCAAGCTAATGTTTAACCCAATAATTATTCCTAATTCTAATACACTTTTTGTTTTGTTTTGTTTTTAATTTACTTTTTTTTGGTCCTTAATTCTAAAGGAAAGCGAATACATACGGCTAAGCAACAGCAATAAGATGAGAGAGATTAAATATTTTATTTCCGACTTAAAAGAAGAGAACACCAATATGCAGACAACTTAACCTCAATTTCTTCGAGGTTTTCAATATGACTTGAGGTTGCACGGGCCCTTCCGTCGTACCTCGCTCTGACATTTGTCATCCTTCTTTCGAAGTGGTCCTCAGTACGACCATAGCTCCACCCAGCAACCATATCATATCAAGTCATATTGGTGGTCTCTTAGGGAGAGCGCGTAAATAAGAACCAGAAACTGAATGAAAGAGAAAATAAAATTTGTGGAAATGTGTGTCTACACAAGAAAAAATACGAGAACTCTTAAAATACTTATGATAAGTCTATGCAAAATATGTAGAACGTGAAATACGCGCCCTACTCAAAATTACTTGAACTATTATTTTATGATTATTTAAAAAATAACCTGTTACAATTTTAAAGCTCAAAAGATTCTTACAGAATGGAGGTTTAACTGACAAACGTTTAGCCTAAAAGTTCTTGACTACTATTTTCTTACAGATGGATTTTGACTGGATATAATCTGTTCCCAGACATGCCTATCACTGTAACTTCGCTAGTCCTTGGAAACACCCCTCTGTAACAGATCCAGTGAAACCTACCCCGTGGTTTAATTCAGTCGACCCAGCGATAAATTAGCCTCCCAGATATCCGGCAAATAGTTTGATTCTACCCGGCTGATTTTGAGCTACCCTGGGTCACTTTGTATCATGACTTCAACAGGACCTATTTCGTCGTTAATATTTGTTAAAAGAAGCGTAAATATAAAATGTTATTACCATTGACAAAAACCATGATAGTTAGTAAAAGTGGAATGGTTGGGAAACCCTTTGTTTTAGGTTTTTGTTCGCTTTTATTGACCTGACCGTGCACAACGTTCAATAGCATTCCTATCATTTTGAAGTTATTGACCAATAGAAACATTGCATTAATTTATTCAGTCATGATTTGCGAACAGAAAACAAAGGATTGTGCACGGCCAGGGAGCTTCCAACATAAACTGCAGCACCATTGTTTTCAACTTTGATGTTTGCCGGGTTTCCTAGCCAGTCTCCTCTACTAACTATGAAAACAAAATACGGAGGGTGCATGTAATCGACCCCGCACAATGAAGTGTAAATCGTTTAGTCCTTCTCGCTAGAGCAATATGTAAAAGGGGTTTAAAGTTTTCATGCCGGTTAAGATGTAAGGTCTGCCACACTTTCCGCATTTATGGAAAGTACACAACTGAGAAGAAAAAAACAGTGGAAAATAAACCAACCCAGTGACGTTTTCTTCGAGAACCCAGTGAAGATGTAGATTCCACTGAGTCTTTTACAGTGGGGTGTTTGGAAATCTTTAAAACCATATACTACTGTTTGCAAGTAATTTGATAAACTAAAAAATCTCGAGGTATTTAGCTTTCATTTTAATAAAGTTGATTCCTTTTCTGCAAGCAAATTTAAAATCTACTTACTCCAAGCGAAAAATGAGGTACGGGAACTACACTCACCAACGGGTTAAGTCGGTGATTTTAGTATGGTCACGTCACGTAGTTAACGTTACGGATGACTGGTGACGAATGTCGGTGAACATTTAAAGTAAAAAGGATTATTAAATAAGCGGTAAGTCCACTAGTAACTTTACTAAGTCATTTAAATTTTAAGGGTAAATTCTTTATCCGGAATACTGAAAAGTAGCACCTAAGAACGGCAAAACGCCTTTTCATTGTTGTATTGAAACGCTTTGAAAAATTTTTGAGTACAAGATGTAAATAAACTTTCGCCGTTTTCGTGAATACCCCATCCTCGGAGACCCAGGGGCGGTTAGTGCGGTCCTGAAAAACGGGGGCGAAAGATTTCAAGAACCAACCTGCGTAGCAGGCGTCGAAATGGGTAAAGGATTGGAAGAAAGGGGAAAAGCGAGGGGGATTTGGGAGAGAGGCTACTGTCACTGGGAAACCAAAAATATTTTTGTGCTCAATCAGAGGCTAGCATCTATCGCGCTGCTTTCATGATCTTCTTATACGGAGTTTACCTGCAAGCTCGACTGTTTCCTCAACGCCCGTAAAAAATTCCCCCGTATGAGTCTGGCTCGTGCAGGATTTCTGCAATTTGATTGGCTTAGAGCAGTGGTGTTTCAGCTTAATTTGAAACACCTACATGTGAAAATTACAAACCTTTTGCGGGCAGTAGTATAAACAAATAATAGCATGATTTGCACGTGATATTTGGCATAAATACCACTCGTGATATTTCACTCGTGGTATTTATGCCAAATATCACTACTAATCATGCTATTACCGACACTAATTCTGTTACAAAACAATGAAGTAAAAATCCAGTCCTGTCCACACTAATGCAATTATGAAAAGATTTGTTTGCGAGTTAAAACAGGTATCAAGAGTTCCGCACCTATGCCAAATCTATCCGCATCGCTTTCGTATCGCTCTCTCAGAGCGATTATTGCTTCAATAGGGCCAGCTATACTCTCGCCTTAAGCTTATGAACAATGCCATGCAGGATAGATATGACGTCAACGTGTTTTAAAACTTCGCTTTAGCCAGTTCACACTACAATGATTGACCTGTGTTTTCTAAATACTCAACCTTTGAAAGCGTTTTCGAAAACCTTCTTTTTCGATTGTCTTGGTGTTTCTGGTTTCAAAGGAAAACGCATTAGGTTGGACGGGATTTAAGACTTGTGATTTTGTTTTGACAAAGTATTAGTTTTTTTTCCAGATTCAACTTTGTAAACTATCTTACTAATCAAAAATGTTTTGTTTTCGAAAATTATAATCAGAATCGTTGAAATACCAGCCTAAACCAAAACTGGATGCATCACTTTTTGTAGATGAAAACACTCAAGATGGCCTCTGCTGTGCTATAGAACTCTCTCATGTCATTGAAGTTGTGCCATTCAAAATTGTAAGCTCTCTTTGGAGTCACAACAGAGGTAACAAGTGCAAGATTGATGGTACTGTTTTGATTCGCAGTGTGTGGCATCTTTGATGCAACCTTAAGGGCGGTTGGTTCATGGTTTCCTTGAAGGATATTTCGTATTTCTGAGGAAAGTAAAAGTAGTCCAGTTAAATGTTTCATTCAATAATTTTCCCGTGTTTAACATGAATTCTATTCCTAGGCTAGCAGTAGTCCGTCATTTTCCTCAGGGATAGTAGGGCATGTGAAAATCGAGTGATCTTTCTTTTTATGTGCATCAGCTACGCACTACCCGTATGCATCCGTATGTTACTAGAAGTATGTATTCGTATGTTACTCGTATGTAGGTGTATGTTACCCGTATGTAACTCGCGCGTATACACCCGTACGCATCCGTATGTTACTAGCATGTATTCGTATGTTACTCGTATGTATCCGTTTGTTACTAGTATGTATTCGTATGTTACTCGTATGTATCCGTATGTTACTCGTATGTAGCTGTATGTTACCCGTATGTAACTCGTATGTACCCGTATGTATCCGTATGTTAACCGTATGTTACTCGTATATATTAGTATGTACCCGTATGTATCCGTGTGTTACTCCGTATGTTACCCGTATGTACCCGTGTGGTGTTTAAGTCAACTGTGATAGCAAGCGTCTAGTAGTTTTACCTTTAATCGATATCTTCTTTTCTTTACTTTTGCGGCCGGGGTTATCTGATCTTCGCAGAGTACTTTTGAATGTCAGTGTCTTGTTTGTGACATTCAGAAATATGGTTCCTGCATGCGGAGGTTTGCTCACTGTGGAAAGCAGAGACGCAAATATTTTTAAATACTTTTCGCTTCTGTTACGTGACCAAAGTGAAAATTTAAGGAAAAGGTTGAGAAAAAACTAATAAACGTCGTTTAGTATAATAATCGTAAACAAATGGAACCATACATAGGTACTACCAAACAGGTTTCTTTGAATCGGTAGGGAAACCCAACGACTGTTTTCAAGGCGCAAGGGTGGCGCAGTGGTGAGAGCACTCGCCTCCCACCAATGTGGCCCGGGTTCAAATCCCTGCGTCGACGCCATATGTGGGCGTTGAGTTTGTTGTTGGTTCTCTCCCTTGATCCAAGAGGTTTTTTTCCGGGTACTCTAGGTTTCCCGGCTCCTTCAAAATTCCAATTCGACCAGTAATCAGGTAGACGAAAAACCACTTAGTAGGTGTGCTTACACTGCATCTTCTAAAACGTTCTAGATAATTCGGCTGTCTTAGACTAAGGGATTATCCTCTAACTTTACAGAGACATTTAGGGATGATGAAGTTAACGAGCGTCCATTATCAGTTGGTATCCGTATTGCGTTTAACGGATATCCCATTTGTGCTAAATAAGGAAAACATGATTATGTGCCCAAGTTTGCGGATCGAATAAAAGATTTCACTCTGTGAGCAGTGAGCGCATTAATAAATGAACAGTTAAAACCTCTCGTGTGTCCTGTCTTCCTTGAATGCAGTTTCTTAAGCACTTTAAGCGCTCCTTAACAATTTCTGTTGCAATCATGGCACACTACGGTATATCTTGCCTGCCTCTCAGTGCCACTCGCGCTGAATTCATTCATTAAGGTTACAATCTGCATCCAATTTCATACTAAAAGAGTAAAAATCCAGGCCCTTTTGCGCCACATTTATCTATAGCGCCTCTACAAGGGAGTGTACCTTTCACACGACAAACAACAAAACCGGCACTTCCTGATGGCTTTTAAGCAATTATCTAATGATCAATCAGTATACTTTATCGCACATTAATAATTAACCAACCTTTCCTGGCATAAAGTGTGACATTGACGCCGGATTCAAATTTACGAATGGCTCGTCGTTCTTTAAAGGTAGTAGACAATCCTGGAAGAACGGGACACAGAGTCCTATACCTGATACCAACAGCTGTCGCTAGAATGCCACCAATAACGGCCCCATCATCCGGGTCACTCAGGGCAAGGTGATCTCCTGGGCAGATGTAAACATCAATGTTACCTAGAGATATAGAAAAAAAAAGGAGAAGAAAGTGTTGTGTCAAGTTTTTAATTCAACGTTAAAAAAATTCAAAACTGCTTTGGTTTTCAAACGCTTCCTTCTGTGAATTGGTAAAAAATCTTCCACCACCGTTTCCTGATCAATCTGAGACTGACACTATCAATATTTATGCAGCTGCAGTGGTCAGGTACTCAGCAGGTGTTGTGAACTGGACAAAAGAGGATCTTGACAATTTGGATCGAAGGACCAGGAAACTTATGACAATGCACAGTGCCTACCACCAAAAGGCTGTATCTTCCGCGTGTAAAAGGTGGAAGGGGCCTTATTAGAGTCACTCTGCGGATGTGGACGTTAGAGGCTAGGATCCTACGGGGTGTACTAACATTTCGTTCCTCTTCTTCATAAGTCTACATGTAATGCGGTGCGATTGGACTTGATAAGCAAATCGCTTGAAGAAAAGTCCTGTCCTTTCCAATGTAATTTGATTTTTCGTCCTTTTTGTGCCATCTTTCGACTCAAATATTCGATTTGTGTACTTGTGTATTTTCCAACCACATATTTTTTGTATTTTGTAGCCCGAATTGCTCGAACTCCTTCCTTGTTTTGAATATCATGAAAGATAACGCAAAATCTCTCAGCTAAGTGAAAGCATATCCAAAGAAATTGCTAAAATACTGCAAGTACCGTCCTCTGCGATGGGAGATAAGGAAGCAATACCCAGAGTATGACGTCGATTAGTGTAATATTGTCATTGATCTGCTGGGAGGGTGATCAAAAATCCTTGAGCTGACTATGAAAACTTGCGCTCGTTGGTGTAAGGAGAAAGGATGTTTTGCGAAGAATGCAGAAAGCCTCAATCTTGCGCTTGCTCAACATAGCTGAACTTAGTAAGGACGTATTATGACCACGTTTTGTTAAGATCGCAGTAGTGACGTTTTAAGTGGTTTTTAAGGATTAGTCCAGATTCTAAAAATGTATTACCTTTTATTTCTTAGCTGTATTTTATTACCTTGACGCTTACACTTCCGTATTATTGTATTTTTTTTTGAAAAAAAATTTTGCCTATGTAACTTTCCATAACACAGTTCGTTTTTTAGAGCAATTTAGTTCCTTGCAGGCCACATAGGCTACAATGTGCGCCCTCTGTGGTTAACCGCTTGCATTCTTACGTTTTCTACTGCATAATAATAATAATAATAATGAAAATAATAATGATGATAATATTAATATTATTATTAATAATAAACAGTTATTTAAGGACTTACCATCCACCAACAAGGACCAAGAAGAATCCGAATCCTCCTGAAGAGGTCTTGTAGGTGCGTATCTTTGGTCTGCGCTCTTCAGATAGGTGATGGGTCCCTTAAAACGGACCTTTTAAACGCAGAAAAATACAGCTTTTTAGGTTGGGTTTCTTCTACGTTTGATTTAGGCATTATTTTTTTAACAAAAACAAGAACATTAAAGAGGGTATCAATGGGCTTAACCGTCAGCCGTAAAAAAAGGTGTTTTTTTTCGGATTTTTTACTGTCAACCGTCAATAAGAGTAATATCAACCGTCAAAACGTTTCAAGGAATTTCAAATCTCACTATTTCAGCTGATCTTCATGGACTTTTGGCTCATGAAGAAACTTTACAACTTTGCTATATCTTAAAATAGTTGGAAATTTTATATGAGAGGCCAAGGCAACGTCCAAAACACAATGGTTAAATATTAATTTATACAGAGGTTAATATTTACTTTAACTCTTAAACTAAATTTTCACTAACTAACCACCAACCGTCAAAAGTCCTAAAATTTAGCTGTTAACCGTCAAAGCTACCACCCCATTGAGGCCCTCATTAAAACAGAAGAATAGGAATTTTAAGCGCTTTGCAAGTACTGGACAGTTTAGGAACTAATAAACGAACGACATTGTCAGGGTAATCTGACAGTTTTAACCACCAGCTGCTTAATAGAAAACATCTGGCAAACTGAATTTCTTGTACAGGTTATTAACACATTTAATCGATAGCAGAAAATAAAAATTGTACAACCAGCCGCACGTCGTAACTTTTGTTGACCGCACGAGAACGCCACCTACACGCGTCTTAAAACGTGTATCTTGTATCTCGACCCCAACTCCGGTTGAATTAGTATAGCATTGAAATTACTGACGATGATCAGCTTTAATTTAGAACTATATAGACGTTTTCAAATCTAACCTGAGGTGCCTTCCATTCCCTGTGTTTGTTCGTAGCCATCTTGTTGTCATGGTGAAGGGAATCCCGAAGCGCTCTAATGTCATAAAGTGGAATGTTTTCAGCAGCGGCTCTCTTCTGAAGCAATGTCATTGTGCTTTCCAACGCTTCCTTTTCTCTCAATTCTTTATATTCATCAGCTGTCATTTTTAAGTTTGTGGTGGCCATTTTGTAAAGTACTTGTTCAAATGTTGCCTTCAAGAAAAAAAGAAGTAAACATGACATGAATTACAGGGTTACGTACTCTACAATGCAGTATCGTGCAGGGTGTAAAAAGTAAAGATGACTGAACTTGTTTTAAAACTACATTTCTCTTGAATTATGACAAGCTACTGTGCGATGTTTAAGGACCGCGGGGGGAACTTGGGTAAATTTTTGCTGGGTGTGTGCCGCTGGCCTCTCAGAGCCCCTACCCCATTAAGCCCCTATTCTGTGGCCAATCAAAGACCCCGTTTTAGTCACTTTTGGGCAAATATGTAATTTTCGTGATCCCAACTTAGTCACTTTCATTTATGTAACTACCCTATACTGAATGAGGAAAAAACATTCTGATACGTTTGCTGACCATTGTTGTCATCCAGAAATAGTGTTATCATGGTAACGTGACGTCACACTTCTTCTTCTCTATTCCTGACTGAAATATCGAGAATCCGCCGACTTGCAAAATCTTGCAAAATTTCATCATTAATTAGCAATCATTGAACGAGGCTGAGTATCATCTGAAGAATTATGGAGATCGAGAAGGGTGTCGTCCGACGAGGCCGTAGGCCTCAGTGATCTCCACAATTCTTCAGATGATACGAAAGCCCAATTCAAAAATTGTTTTAATATTCAATGAAAATAATTCCTAGTTTTAAAACAAGCTAAAACATGCTTACATCAATCAATGTTAAGTTCATCTTCGATAGTGCTTGTTTATCGCAAGTTAAAGAGATAATAACGGTTGTTCAGTTCTGCAAATATTCTTCAAAGAGCAGATGTCGTCCATCGAGTTGTCTTCTTGCTGTTCTTGCTATGTTTTTAAGTTCCCCTATTTCGTCCTCGCAAAACCAGTGAAATGTTCTGCCATTTTGCATTCACTACCAAAACATCTTCATTCCCAGGTCTTCAATAATCTGGCAGTTTTGCTGCAGGATTGACGTCATCAGGGCAGGGGGGAACGCCTTGGCGTAACTTGAACTTGATTTGTTAGAAAAAGCAAAGCGCGATGGTACCTTTTATTTTAGCCTGGGACCAGGTTCCGCATTGGGGGAAAAAGGAGAAAACAATAAGCGTGCGCGAAAAAAAAAATCTGTCCGGAGATGGGAAAGGGTGGCGGACCTTTCCCTATCCCCAGACCACCGCTCGGCTCTGTTCGCTCGCGGATATTTTTTGTATTTCCCCCCTTTTACCTTTTTTCCACTGCAGAGCCTGGCCTTAGGCTACTTTAATTTGCATTTTTGACAATAAGTCACAAAAAGGTAGAACATAATAAATTATGACATTTTGCAACCGTGTCGGTGGATTCTCGATACTTACAGTCACGGGCCTCCTAAAGATGCACATGCCTACCTCAAACAACCCATCCATTAGCTTATCCAACTTCGTGCCACTGAATAACATCTCCAGCCTTGCAGCACCAGTTCTGTTTGGCAGGTACCATGGAAATGTGTCTATCATTGCCACAAAAGCTACATTTTCACTCTGTTCAGTAAGAATGTTTGCCATTTCATATGCCACGAGACCACCAAAGGACTGGCCAGCTAAATAATAAGGCCCGCGTCGTTGCACCTGTTTGACCATGCTGACGTAACTCTGAGCCATTTTTCGCACACTCCGGTTTTCTGCTCTCATTGTGGGCTCAGTATAACCAATGCCGTAGAATGCAACTAGAGACTGCGGAAAAAAGGAACGCAAAGCTGGCTGTCGTAAAATAAATATAAGTGGTTAACATAAACTAAAAAACCTTTAACCCACCACTTTAATTAACTCCGTTTTCTAATTAACGTTTTCTAACGTCCAATGCTCCACAAGTGTACAGCAAAATGCGGCACAGGTAAACTCGAATGGAATCTTATCTTACCACCCATTAGATGTAACGAGGTAGCTCAAAAATGTCATGTAGACAACGCGTTTCTTTTTCTATTTTAGCGGCTTTTTTGGTTATCTTTTAAGCGACTTCTTTGGTGACTTCTTTACAGACTGTTTTTTAACAACTGTTGATCAGAAAAGTACAAAACCGGTGGCATGGAAGAGATATAACAACCTCAAATTCATTTAGTTAAAACGGTTTTACAATCGACTGGCCCGCCAAGTAGCAATTTCTTTTTTTATTTTATTCACAATTTTGGTTCCTTTGTCTGCCTTTTTGATATTTATTTTCCGAGTTTTCTTTTAGTTCTCTAAAAGAGCATCTTCTTAAAGTACTTGAGAAGTAATACGAGCCCACATTCTAGTGATCGCTGAAAAGTTGTTAAAATGTCGCTGAAAAAGTCGCTAAAAAAGCCACCATAAAAGTAGGTAGAGAACTCACCCAAAATTAAAGTCGCTAAAATAATAATAATCATAATAAAAAAACAACCACATTTTTCGTATGGCACCTGTGAGCCACTAGACTATTCCTTCTTCTAAAATATACCTATTTTGTCCAGCTTTACACGAAAGCCTCTCGTGCGGGAATGAAATCAGCCCATAGTAAGAGCCCACCATGTTTCAAAGGCAAAAAGGTTAAAAAACGAAAAAACACAAACAATCAAACAAACGAATGGGGGGAAAGGATGGAGCAAAAAAAAATTGCAGGCCTGGCCTGATCTTATAGCAGAAGATACAAGAAAAAAAAAATCCTGTAGGGCTTAGGACACACAAGATTGAATTGCTTGTCCGTTACAGAAGATACAAAGCAGAAAACACAGCGGAGTAATTCATCCTTAGCTTACTTGTTGCGTGAAGCCATTGGAGATTGGTGAAAGGTTCATGGTATACCTTCCGGCTGGATGGACGCAAAATAACTTCACCTCAGCTTGTTCGGGTTTGAAAAGAGGAATAAGGTGATAGGTGGCCGTGGGCGACGCCATGTCAATTGGATGGAGAGGTTCTTCAAAAGTGTTTGCCCTCTGAGGAGACTTGTCACGCTTCCCTTCAGCCTGAGGTGTTGTTTCTTTACTGAGAACCTCTTCCTCGCCTTGGACAGGAACGATTCTTTCATTGTTGAGCCTTCCAATGATGTCTTGTATCAGCTTAGCGGGAGTGGTATCAGGTTGGTTGAAATAGAATACCTGTTAAACAAGAATAGCATAGCTAACACAAGGTTTGTTACGGTAGCCTCTCATTTTGCTTAACCCGACTTCGATTAATAAGCTGACAAGAGCCCTACTCAATCTGGCATGTCAAGCTTTACCACAGGGCGGGAAAGAGGTTATTCAAGGGAACTAGCAAGGCCTTACGTGTGAGTGTCTGTTTAAGGCTGAGGAGAGTGCGGAGGGGACAGTGGGAGGGGGTGGGGAGCGGCACTCAACCCAATTCTATACAAAATGGCAAAGTATCTCTACCCTTTCATATACTTCCACCCGTCCGTGAAATCCCTTCCCTTTCATGCACCTGGGGTGTTTGCCGTGAACATAAACTATCCTGTCGAAAATCTCGTGCAAAACATTAATCAATAGACATTGGTCATGCGGCGGCCATTTTGTCCCAAGAGATTAAAAAGCTTTGTATTTGCACGGCTAGCCTCGTTCTCACCGAGAGGCTAACCGTGCGACAACAAAGTTTTTTTAATCTCCCGAGACAAAATGGCCGCCGCGTGACAAAGGTCTTTTGGGAGGAAAAGTATATGCTATATTAGCTGGAGCGAATGGAAAGAGTAGAAAAACTGCATAAACTCAAAAAGGCCTATAGATATTATCTGAAGTTTCCCGAACGGAATGGAGCGAGCCATCTGATTTCCCGAACGGAATTTCCAGTTATTCCAAGTATGTGGGAAGTACCCCTGAATCCAGAAAAAGATAGCGCTATCGGGCGGAGCCTCCCCGTATAAGGCCATTATATAGGGAATTGTCCATCAAGAAAGAACTGACTGTATGTAGATTGCTAAAATCAAACCTCAAAGGAAATCTGGAGAGAAGACTCGAGTTGCATTTTAAACGTCAGTGCTGCAAACGAATCCATTCCATAGCTGTACAAACTCGAGTTGAAGTTAAGGTCTGAAGGGGCATTCCCTGTCCATGAGCATATTAGCTCAGTGACATATTGATGAGCCAGTTCTTGCTGTCTTCCGAGGTCTTTTTCCATAAGTAACATGGAAGCAATTTCCTGCTTGTTTTGTAGACTGCTAGTGGATTCTTGTCTGTCACTGATGTAAGCCAAGCGAGTCGACTTCGCTAGCCCAGGAGTACTGGTTTGAATCCTTTGCCAGTCAACATCAAACAAACCTATCTGTGCTCTTCCTGGCTCCTCAGTCAAAACTTTTTCCATAAAGTTTATCGCTGAAAAAGAAAGAAATGTTAAAAATAAGAAAACAGTTTAAGTACAGATGGTCTCTTTCCATGACTGAGTTTCGAACCAGCTCAGAAATTTCTGGCCTTGTCAAATGAGTTGACCAGGTCAAATGACCACCTTTAAGACATTTGTTGTGAAAAGTGGAACAGCTTAACAAATTAGCTCAAAATTTAATGTATCACGTTTATTCTACAAAAGACGGAAGACATTCACTAAGGTACTTAGATACTTTATAGGAATTATTTTTAGAAAGTTGTGCAGTGATCGAGTCTCCAAAACATTTAGGGTCAAAATAACAAAGAGAGACCTGATTATCATAAAAACTAGGTAAAGGGACTTCAAAGAACAACTGTTTTCACACTCCTAGACATTTCAATTATTTTTTCTTACATTTATAGTCTAATTCGCGTTAAAAAATCAATACGCTTACTTCATCTTGGGTAAGTACTTTTACTACAATTTAGATAATAAATAGTTGCTAAAAGAGAAAAAAAGAAATAATGGGATGAAATGGAATGAACGGCCAGTTTCTTAAAGAAAGGCTGCGGACATCATTCAATGCCCTCAAAGGTCAACTAAAAACCCATCTCTTCAAGAAAGTGTACCCTTAAGGGTTGTTTTACCGTATTTCATTGGTAATTTTTAATTAGCTAATGATATGTCACTTGTTCATGATTTCTAGAGTATTGATGGTATGCAGATTTTGCAAATAAATTCTGTAGCATGATTTGTAAAGCGCTATGAGCAGTTAGTGAAATCATAACGCTATATAAATAAACTCATCATTATTAATTCTTTGCTTATCTTCAATTTCTTTGATAACCTGGTGATTGTTCACGTTCTTTATGCATGCCATATTACATGACCAACCCAGCTGATAAAAGCAATGCTTTCAATCTTCCACTACTGCATTTATTAGATACTTAGAAGCTATTTTAGACCTTTCCCGCATTCCTGTAAACAAGGCACCGACTGGAGGCTTGCTCAGACAAAATACAGTGATTTGTATGAAATTATTGCGCACGCAAGCGTTAACCCAATTTCTTTGTGTGGGTTCACTTGAGTCGTGGGATGCGAGAAATGTCGATTGACTATTGTGGGTTAAAACCTTTCCTCGAAATGAAGTACTCTAAGTTCTTAAAGGAGCTGCGTCACGAAATTCAGCCAAATTAGGAAATTAAAAAATGCCCGTTAAATTGAGAGAAACAAAAAAATAACCGCTTAAAACTTCAAAGGAAGGTTAAAATAACATAACAGAAACAACAGATGCCACGGATGGGCAAAACTGAAGAAGATTGAAACGGATTGAAATTGGGGTTTTTGAAAACTGTTCAGCCTAACAGTTTTTCAAAGTTGAGCCCTGCTGCTTGCAACTTCAAAAATAATGCTCAGGAAACATTTTTCTTTGTCTCGAATCTCTGATTTTGTCATTTACATATAATTTCTTTGCTTACTTTAAGTTCCATAGCGATTGAGGGCGAGTAATTGCCAAAATTAAACGAAATGAACTGGACTGTCGTGAAACAGCCCCTTTAAATTACAGCGCTTTATAGTTTACCTTGTGTTGCTGGTAGCAAAAAGTAGCCCGCCCTTGAAAGGTGCTGAGCAGTAGCCTCTTCACGATGAAGAACTCCAACTCCTTTGATAGGGCCCCAGTTAATCGATAACGCAGGTAAACCAAGCACATGCTGGCGATACTGTGCTAAACCATCCAGGAATGCATTGGCGGCTGAATAAGAAGCTTGGCCTGGATTACCTAGCAGCGACGCAATTGATGAGAACAAAACAAAGAAATCCAGATCCATACTCAGACTCATCTCATGCAGCAGGTATGCAGCTGTGGAAAAAAAAAAACAGAAACTTTTGAAACTCTTTCAATGTAGAGCATCCTGGTAGTTGAATTAAAGACAGGGATTAAAGTATTGTCTTTGAATGTGCACAAGCCAGTTTTTAAGGCGATTTTAAATATTTTGTTTCAACTTTGTAGTACTGTAAATAAAGGCATTAAGTTTAATTCATAAAATAAAACCCCCTTATCTTACAATTGGTCAATATATCATAATTGTTATAAGAGATCTGAGACAATAGTAATATAAAATTATTACCTGAGGAATAATACACGGAAAATGCTATTCAAGAAATATTGAAATTTGAAAATGATATTTAAATGACATGTAGTAAGCAATGTATCACCGTTAATTCAGCATTAGCAGACCCATTCACTGACAAGTCACAGGTTAAAATTGGTAACACTAAACTACAAAAAGGAGATGGACCTTTCCTTTCTAAGAATACTAATGACGAGGAGACCTTTAATTTCTTTTACGAACTAGCTTTTGACAAGTACCGTCATTCTACTTTCACACTGAAAAATGACTCCGGGTATAGGTCCATTTACTATTTCTGAAAAATAATTACTCTTATAAAAAGTGGGATAGAAAGTTATACTTCTTGAAATAAGTGGGTTAGGATAAGTGGAATAGGCTGTCGGTAACAGCATGTGTCACATTTTGACAACGTGTACGGAAGTCATTATCAAAGTATTTGACTGCGTTGGTTATGGCTGAAAAAAAGATAAATGTGCGTGGTGCATTTGGGTCTGCTTTTTGCAACGACAATGAAATAACTGTCAGTGTAATTTATTATGCCATACATTGTACTCACTATCTGTCTTCCTTTTGACTAAGAGCCTACAGTTAATATTGCATACCAGCGCAACCTAAAGATTAGTTAGTTATCTGCTAGCAGATTAGTGACTAAGGCCCGGTTCAGACGCCACTCCACTCATGTGCCGAACCTAGCTGATGAATTAAGTACGGTAAAAGAGCGACGCTGAATAAATTTGGTACGGCAGTTTTAGTTTGGTGCGGCAAAGCGTTAAGTCCGACAGAGTCTGTCGAACTTAACTTAGGTTCCACACACGGAACACCGTCTGAATCAGATGTCGCGCCAGTGTCGCTCCAAAGTCGAACTTATGCAATTAAGTTCGGCACATGAAAAGTACGGCGTCTGAACCAAGCCTAACCTGTAGGTTGTGACAATTTTTAAGAGCAATGGCAAACTGTGTTTTTTCCTTATTTCATTGTATAATAAAACAATATTAGATTCGGTTTTTCTGTAGTGTTATCAGGCTCAGCCTTTGGCTCGGCTACTAACACTTATCTCGACCTTGATTATTCAAGATATCACAGAAACCTCATCCAATAATTTTTCAATATTTTGTTTATTGATCATTACCTTTCACTTTGGGTGCTGCAACAATCCTAAAGTTGCTGACAGTTAGGCTTGGAATGAGCTCATCCCTCAGAACCATTGCTGTATGTACGATTCCTGCAACACTTGGAAGAGACTGAAGTCGTTCTTTTAAGGCCTCCATACACACTGGACTTGAAGCATCTGCCTGGTGAAGAATGATGTTTGCTCCAGTCACTTCCATTAACTTAGAGACTTCAGAAAGTTTAGATTCTGATGGTTTAGAGCGTGCAATGAGAACAATTGACTTTGCCCCACAGTTAGCCATCCATTTTGCAACTTCAAACCCAAAACCCTGGATGCCACCTACTACCATGTAGGTGCGGTCTGGTTTCAGTCCCTGTTGATCTATGCCAGGCATCATAACCTCCCCAGAAAATTCTGACGATCCGTTACTTCGGCCAAATGAAAGAGACACAAATTCAGAGCATGTCGTCTTTAAAAAGTCGAAGCGGATCTGTGCACCCTCACTTCTAGATTCCTGCACTTTCTGGACAATATCGACAGTGTTTTGATCAAGTTTGAATACTTCATTCATGAGGCCAGATGACTGCAGCAACTCCCATGCTATGGTCCATAGTTCAGGAAATGCTTTTGGCTTCAGGAGAATCTCTGTAAAGGTGATTCTCTCGCATGTGATTTGTTTGCCTGCTGGAATAGTGATAGAGCCTGCGACATCTTTACAAATTACCAGCATTCCCCCTTCTTTGAGTAGCTGGCAGGTTGCCTGTAAGCATTTTGGTTTGGGTTGATCGAAATATATGGCTGCATCTATCTTCCGACCGTGGTATGCAATATTTTCTGGCATCGATCCCTGTGCTGAGGTAATATGGGGACATATGTGTGCCTTTGATTCCCGTTTGGCACTAACCACGGTATGCCCCAAAGCTTCGGCCACTAAGACAGCGACTTTCCCAAGACCATTTTTTCTGTTGTCTATCAGTAGGCTTTGATTCTTCTTTTTTCCAAGTGTCTTTTGGAGGACATACAAGGCAACCGCCAAACAGACAGGGACAGTGGCTGCTTGTTTGTCACTCATACCTTTTGGTTTGTGGATAACATTGTCTGCATTCACTTGAACTTGGTTTCCAACCTTGGAAATGCTTGCCATCCCACATACTTCATCTCCAACCTTGAGGCCTCTTGACTCTTTGGCTGTTTCACAAACATTGCCACTGAAACCGACGAACTGGGGATTACAGAAGATCTGCTTTAAGTCTCCACTAACAATCCAACTGCATGTCACATTTACTCGAATTTGGTTCCCAGAGAGCCTTGGCCAAGTGTTTTTCTTGAAACATAAGGCACCTGTTTTGGGATGTAAAGTGATGTACACTGATGGTAAAGTTTTCTCCTTGTATGATAAAGTAGTCTGACTAGAGGATTTGTCCAGCCACATCATGCGATTGACAAAACGCTTTCCCCCACGAAATGCAATCTCATCCTCTTTGGAGGAGGCTTGAGCCTCTTCTGCTAAAAGGATGAGGTCAGCTGAGTCATCACTTAGGTCAACGGCTGTACATCTGATGTTTGGACATTCAAGGGAAGCTGTCCTCCGTAGTCCCAACACAGAACATGCCCATGGAAAACAGCACGTTTCGTTACCCGGCGCAACTACTTGGGAGTTTCTTGTGACTGTAACTAAATGGGGACTTGTAAGGTTGCTGTTTGCTATAACTTGCAAGATTTTGACACAGCTGACAAACGCAAGCATCTGTGAGTTATCTACAGCTTCATAACATTCTGCCGAAATTCCTGCATCTACTGGAAGAAAGTTGAATAACTGAACTTTATCTTGTGTTGTGGCTAAAGACGACATTGCTGAAGTTAACTCTCTTTTCAAGTCCTCCGGCCAATCCGTGTTTTCAAAAGGGACATGCACAGTTATTACACGGGCAGCTGGATTTTTTGCCTTTAGGTGATCGCAAAACAGTTGGCCAACTGCTTGAGAATCATTCACAACAATTCTTACTGCAGGTTCTGTGTCTGACTGGGGCTCAATTTCGGATTCCACCCATCTTGTGCCATAAGCCATACTGTCAAACTTTTGCGACCGAATGAGAGTCCCAATCTCCGTTGACTGAAAGCCTTCAACTGCTATCAAAATGGTTCCACGTGAATCCATCACGTTAATGTCATAGGTTACCCAGTTTCCACGCACTTGTTTGGAGACATAGCAAAACGTTCTTTGTGGGATGGTTCGACTAAAGAATGTGAGCTTCTTTATCCCAACTGGAAAGGTTGTTTCATCCAACAGATTACTACTTGTATCTTCTTCAACTGCTGCTGACGACTGGAAGCACGCATCCAAGAATGCGGGGTGTGCGACATATCTTGCCATTTCAATCTTGACTTCCTCTCTGTCAATATCAATGATGCAAAATGCTTCCTCTTGACCTCTCCATATCGACTTTATCAAAGAAAAAGAGGGACCAAAATTGAAGCCATATTTCTCCGTCAAATGTCTAAACTCTGAAAGTGCCACTGGCTTCATTCGGGTGGTAATATCCTGGAATGTTTCTACATTCACGGATTTGTACAATTCCAGGGACCCTTTAAACGAAGAAAAAAAAAATGACATGCAAATTTAGTATTACCTTGTATGCTTTGTTGTCTCCAGTGACTAGCAGTACTACTAATTCAACAGTCATATTTCTAAGTGCTTAGTAGGTTACAGAATGAGTCCTTCATCGTGTCATATCTTAATTGTTATATTCCTTGACTTTCACTCCACTAAACAGAGACAGCCATTGGCTGATTCTTGGTCACATGGCCTTGACTAAAATCAAATGTATCCCGATCGTGATACATTAAGCAATGTACCCCGCTCGGTATACATTCCAGCACCTGATCAAAGCATGGTGGAAGGTGGCGTGACAGAGGACGGGAAAAACACTGCCAGTTTTCTTTTCGTGAATGAACACAACAGCAAAAACATGAAGCTTCAAGCTAAAAAGCAACGATTTTCAAGGTTATCCCAGAAGAGAAACAGCAGCTAGTGAAGAAAAAAGATGCAGATAATATAAGGAAAGTACTTTGTAAATCATTCATTCAGTGGTTTTGAGAATTAAATTTGTGTTCTTATAAGTACCGAGTCGACTGTTTTGATTCGCTTCGCTAAAGCGTATTCTTTTGTCGCTGTTGAAGGACGTTGAATTGAAAGTCTGGGAATATAACAAAACACCTAATGTCAGGTCACTGGGGAAACCAGTTAGTTTTGTTTTCCCTCGAGTCCTGATGTTTCCATCGACTTCGTCTCGGGAAACATCAGGACGCTCGGGAAAACAAAACTAGAACTGTTTCCCTCGAGATCTGACATAAAGAGTATACTGTTGTAGTCTGTTTTAAAGATGAATACAACGGATTATACGAGGGGCACTAAGATGCGTAATTAATGATTTTTCTGGTGAGAACAATACTCTGACCAATAAAGTAGGGTGTTCTTTAGCAAGTAGAAGTATTCAGTATATGCTTATTATTATTAGTTTGCCTTTGGTCTTTGAGTGCATTCCTTTGGGATGATCCGGATCAGGATCAGTGATCCAAGATAACTCAGATCATGCTTCATAAAAGCAACCGATTAATCCTTGCCCAGAGTGGACTCATTGGCGCCTTTGATACATCACGATTCGAGTGATCTCAGGTAACTGATCCTGATGGCCGTTTCTAGAACGTACCGCTAACCTCGGGCTCATAATCAATTATTCGAATCAAAATATAAAGCATAAAAGCACAGGAGCTAGCTACCAAACCATTCCATTTTGTTAGCTGTTAGTTTTATCACATTATTCGACCTTGATTATAAAAAAAACAGCTTCCCAGGCCTGATAATTATCGGGACTTACGAGAAACGGGGACCTGATTCGGATCATTCGAAGGAACGTTCTCTTTGTTTAAGCTAAGCAATCATAAGAAACAATTCAGGGAAATCATAAACAATCTTGTTCTACCTAAGCTCAGGTCTACCTGGAATGGTTTAAGACTAACTGCAGCGTAGTTGCTAAAGCATGGAATTCTTTGCCAGACAATCTTAGATCAAATGACAAAATAGTTTCATTTAGAAGGGCATTAAGGACACTTACTGATTATAATTTAGAGTGGTTCATGTTATTTCAGGATTAAATTATTTGTGTATTTATTTATTTATTTATTTATTTATCTATTTATTCACTTATTCTCTTGGATCGTTAGCAGTACCTGCCAAGGGAATAGTAAGCGTCATGTAAAATTAAGGGTAAATAAAGTTTCTAGTCGTTTTATCAAAACACATGAACAACAGGGCCATCTTGAATAAAAAACGAGCTGATTAAACTAACAGTTTGTCACTCACCCTGCTCGGGATTCTTCCGTAATTTTCCGTCTCCAAGGACTGCAGTAACCTCACCCCTGGCAAGTAGTATTTCAGAGCCATCTCCTGAAATGTTTTTTACCTGGAATTCTGCTGTGCCAATATCTCTGCAATCTTGAAGCTGGAGTCTCAGAAGTCGTATTTGATTCTCTGGTAGGGTAAGAATGCTGGTAAACTCGACATTTTTTATTTCAACTTCATCACAACAGAACCTTTCCACCGTCATCGCAATCGCCATCTCCACGCAAGCAGAACCAGGAAGCACTGGGCCACCCTGCCTTAGAGCATGATCTTTCAAGGTTGGAAACTGATAAAGATCCACTTCCACTTCCCAACAATGTAACCCTGTGAAACTCCCAGTTGGTTTTAACTCGGTGAGAAACGGATGCCTGCGAAAGTGGCTTTTCCCCTCAGATTTGGTTGGCTCGTCTTGAATGAACCAATAGTCAGTCTTTTGCCAGGGGTACGATGGTGTGCGAATGAAGTGGACACTTCCTTCCTCGCCTTGTACACAGTCCCAGTCTATAGAGTACCCCATAGTGTACAGCTTGCTTACAGTGTTGTGAAGAAATGCTTTGTGTTGGTCCTTAACTGTCTTGCGCGGATGAGTAGGCAGATACACGACATTGGTAGACCGAGATGACTGCAGGCTCTGTTGCTCTGATATCCTCTTAAGGTTATAACCAAGGGTGGGTTGAGCACTTATTTCAATAAAGATACTTAAGTTATCCCTTAGGGCATTTTGTACAGCCTGGCAAAACAGTACCGATTGACGAAAGTTGCTCCACCAATAATTTGCATCCATTTTTTCGCCAGGGATGATATCACCAGTAACGGTTGAGTACAAAGGGATTGTTGTTTTCTGCGGACAAAGATGCATGGACTTCATCTGTGAGTGGAAGCTTTCTTTCACCATTTCTACATGAAAGCTGTGAAACGCACGAGCAGTAGACAAGTCCCTCCAGAAGACCTGTATTTTGTTTAACTGGAGATGCCTTTGAACACATTCAATTGACAGCTTGTCACCTGAGATAGTGACACTCTTCTCATCATTAACAGCCGCGATGCTCACACTTCCTTCTAGTCTAAGTTCACCAATCAGTTGGGACGTATCTTCCGCTGACATTCCAAGGGCTGCCATTGATCCATTAGTTGGACAAAGCTCATGACACTTCGATCGAATCAAAATTATCTTTAATGCTTCTTCCAGTGACAAAGCGCCTGCAACACAACAGGCGACAAGCTCACCCAGACTGTGTCCAACTACAGCTGTGGGAAAGATACCCCAGCTTTGAAGTAGCTTGGCTGTGGAATACTGCAGAGTAAATGTTGCCGGTTGACCAACAATATTTCCCATCAGGTCAAAACGACTATCTTGGCCGAGCAATGCACTTTCCAGCGACCACGTTTCTCCCAGGTCTTGAATCATATTGCTTATCTCACTGACAGTATCTCGAAACAAGGGTTCACTGTCCATTAGTTGTCTTCCCATGCCAATCCAATTTGCCCCTTGACCACCAAAAACAAAAACAGGTCTTGAATGCTGGCTCATGGCTTTACCTTGAGAAACATGTTCTGCCCATCCAGTACTGTTCTCTCCAAACATTTCCAGCAAATCAGCTGCACCATGCAGTGAATCAAACACTACCGCCAAGCGATGTAAATGCTGACTGCGTCGCGTATTAAGCGACCAACAAATGTCGCTTTTTGCCCCCTCATCATTGAAGTTCTCTCTGAGCCACTTTGCGTGTTGCTTTGCCGTGTTCGTAAGTGCAGTCGCTGAATGTGCGGAAAGGGTAATGACATGATTCTGCCTTGAACTTTTTTTCAGTGGCATGCTGTTTGTCTCTGGGCACTCTTGTAATATAGCATGAACATTTGTCCCACCGTATCCAAACGAGTTAATGGCTGCTGTCCTTGGGTTTTTACCTTGCTTTGTCCATGGTTCACAGATATCTTGCACTTTAATTCCCTTCTCAGCAAGATTAAATTTGGGATTTAAGGTTTTGATGTTGATAGTTGGAACTAAAGTCTTGTTTTTAAGCATCAATGCAACCTTTATGAGGCCAGCCAGCCCAGATGCTGATTCTGTGTGATTTAAGTTTGATTTCACAGAACCAACACGAAGAACCCGGCCATTTCCAGATGCATTCCTGGAGTATGTTGTGGCAATGGACTTGATTTCAACCACATCTCCAATCGCGGTTCCTGTTCCATGAGCTTCCAGATACTCAATATCCTCAGCATGTAGGCCAGATTCCTCGAGCACTTTCTGAGAGAGGTCTGCTTGAGTCTTTGCACTAGGAGCTGTGATAGGCACTGCACTTTGACCATCATTATTCATACTGCACGCAACAATTTCACAATAGATGTCATCTTTGTCCATAACAGCATCGTCTGTGAGCTTCAGTATTACAGCTGCAAACCCTTCGCCCCTTCCATACCCATCTCCAGAAGCATCAAAAGATTTACATTTTCCATCTGGGGCTAACAACCCACCGACACTGAAGATAATTTGCACTGAAGGATCTAAGATGATGTTTGGTGCACAGACAATTGCTACATCGCACTCTCCATTACGGAGGCAGTCACAGGCAATTTTAAGTGCAACCAATGAAGACGAACAAGCAGTGTCGACAGTTAGACTGGGTCCTGTTAGATTAAGGCAGAATGAGATCCTGTTTGCTAAAATTGAAGCTGTGACACCAGTGGAAAAAAACTGGTTGAGGTTTCTGCGGTTTTCAGGTTGCATTACACGGCTGCTATAGTCTAAATTCATAGCACCGACAAAGACACCAGTGTTCCCCTTCTGAAGATCTTCCAAACGTAAACCTGCATCTTCTATGGCTTCATAAGCTGTTTGAAGAAGAATTCTCTGTTGGGGATCCATGGCTTTAGCCTCCTGAGGTGAGATGTTGAAGAATTCGGGATTGAAATCTTGAATGTTTCCTAGATACGAGCCGCCAAGGGCACAAAGACGTCCTGGCGTAAAACGTTTCGGGTTGTACAGCATGTGGTAATCATGATACTCACTGGGTCGATTTACTGGATAGTCGGGTTGAAAACCACTTTTTCCTTTAATAAGCATGTCCCAAAATAACTCCTTGTTTTCTGCATTTGGGAATCTGCAGCTTATACCCAAGAGAGCAACACCAGATGATTTTGAATCTTGTTTAAAAGTCTCCCTACAGGAGGATTCTTGGTATTGTTTCTGATGTTCCTTCAGTTCAAGTTGTTCTTGGGAAAGAATGAAGGATGGAGACACCGTTGCTCGAATGCAGGCTTCCATCGGCTTACTTGTTATAAAAATAGCTGAAGGAATGTAGCCAAGGGAATGAAACACACCCAGTACAATGTGAATAGGAAGCACCCTAAGGAAAATCAGCGACAAGTTTGGAAACACAAATCCAAGACCAATGGAGCTCAGAATTGCTAATAGACCACCAGATAGTATGGGTATTCCAACAGAGTTTAGGGCATCAAGGGTTCGCTTTTTGGCAGTATTCTTCACTGATAAAGCGCGAACTTGGCTCATATGTAGACTAAAGTTCACTGAAACAATGAAGCCAAGAGAGATGCAGATAACGCTTGCATAATTTAAAGGTACATCCCATAGATTCAGCAACGTCATCATTTCGAGGACCTGGATGACAAGACCAATTGCAAGAACGACTACAATACGAATGTTAGCCGTCAAAAAAAGAGAGAGCACCAAGATAGAAATTCCTGCCACGGCAGAAAAGGATATGCACTCCTTTTCTAATGTTATTAGCTGCTCTGTTTCTTCAAGAAGAGACGAAACAATAGCCACTGGTATGTGCTGCTGTTCTTCAAAGTCCGCAGTGTCATGTTTGAGGGATTGCAAGTATTTTTTCCTTAATGAAAATTGTTCTGAAGAGATCACAAAGAGGTCAAAAGAACTTGCGACGAACTTCAACGAGTCATTGTGCATGGTAAAGTTTAGATCCACAAGGTATTTGAAATTCTTTGGATTTTCTAAAAATGCCACCAGACAGGATTTAAACTGTGTTCCAGTGCAAGATCTGTTTTGCATCTTAGCCCAGCCTTCAAATTTGTGGATCCAGCTTTCAACAGGACGGTTGCTGTAAGGGGCACTGCTAATGCTTTCCACAAATGACTGCAGCTTTTGCCGTAGACCACTGTCGCTGTAGTTGAGCTGGCTATGAAAAACTATTTTCACTTTCGTTTCCTTTTCAAAGATTTTTCTCTGCTCGATCATGTATTTGGTTGCTTCAGTCTGTGGTGTAACTTGCAATGGACTGCCAAACACTTGATTTGCAGGGGTAAGTACCACATAGGAGCTAAAAACGATAATGCCTATGAACAGCATCATGATAACAGAAGAACCTACTTTTCCAACGATGATTCTTCCATAAATCTGCTCAAAGCAATCTCTTTCATCTTCTTCCATTTCATCTCCTGTTAGGTCAGTCTCAATATATTTATCGCACTTGTGCATTTTCGTGAGCCAGCAGAATAGGCACGCCATAATAAGAAGAAAGAAGATGACAAAATGGTATAGAACATTTATAAGAGCCATAACGGCAAAACCCCTGAACACCGGAAAAGAAGAGAGCTGTGTAAAGCAAAACATTAAAATGCAAATAAGGTTGGATGTTGTAAGGGCCATGCCAGATTTCGTCATACAGTTTGCAATTCTGTGTTCAAGAGATGGTATATGGTTTTGCTTGTGAATTTCCCTGATTAAAATTAATGCATCCAAGGCTCCTTTGCAGTACATAAATATTGTGACCATCCAGATGGACTGCCATACATTTATAGAGGCAAGATAGGTCAGGCTTACAGATGAGACAAGGCCTATAACAACACATGCTGTAATCAAACAGCCCAGTATAATAGCCACGGGGCGAAAACTCGCCACTGTACAGTTCACTAGAACGATAGTGGAGCAGAGTAGGACTGCAAAAGTGACAAACGTTTCCGCACTTCTAAAAGAAAAGAGTAAGGAAGCAACACTTTCATGGTTCTGGGAGGAAGTGAAAAACAGTAGTGCACATTTCATCTTTGGACGAAGTTCCTCCACTTTTTGAAGAAATGATGCTTCCCATGATGAGATATCATTTCCGGATGGACCACTTTCTGAAGGGTTCTTCAAATAGTAGACCATTCTGATTGCTTTTGCAGATATGCTCTCTTTCTTTGTACTGCTGTTGTTGCTCGTAAAGCCACTGAAAAATAGTTGCTGATTAAATGTGAATGAACGGCCATCGGATAAAGTTGTACCTAACTGTCCATTCCATTCTCGTGCAATAGATTCTATACAACGGTCGCTTTCATTCTCATTCAAATCACACACTTCTAAGGGGTTAGTCATCATACATGAATGATTTGTCGACTGCCAATTATTTCTCGCTTGCATGCAGAAACTTTGAAAATTGTCTAGGTTAACAACTGTCTTATGCACGAGTAATGCATCTTCCAAACAAGCACCCGAGAGCACATTTTCGCCTTTCTTTGCCACAGCTTCCACAATCACCTCTTCTCGTCTGGACTGAAGCGATGGGAAAACCTCCATTGCCTTCTTCAGGTCCTTCACCAATCGACTGTCTTCGGAGACCCAGAATTCATCTTTAAGGTTTGGGGGAATCATAGTTAGGAAACCTAGCCAGCTAACAACTGTTAGAAGGGTGAGAGTGAAGATTATCTTTCCTGGAAATTTCACTATCAGTTTGCCAAGCTTTTCCAATATCATCTGGTATTTGATGAGAACAAAATGAACGCCTATGACAAAACCTGTGGAAAGCCTTTTTAGTATAAGCCATTTTGGTTTTGCTTTACTTCTAGAAACTCTGTTGAAAAATGAAAAAAGGGAAAAAGCCTTTAGTAGTTATTACGTTGGCTTGCCAAGAATTAAAGTCAGTTTCACTCCTCCGAACGTAAATGTTGGAGTGAGGTACCTAATATTTAAAATTATAGCAACTAAGAACACGGGCACAAGTAAACAAAAAGAAACAGCAGTGGAAAAACGTCACTGCTACAAGAACATTTTTTATTATACAATTGCCAACACTTTCGATTTTCTATCCTTTCACCAAGATGTTACAATGGAGAAAACGAAAAACAATCAATAATTAAAGAAATCGGGTAACTAGGAACCTTAAGCATCGACGACGAAATGGGACGACGACGCCGATCGTAAGTGAAATTTTCCCGCGCGAACCTTCTGGGCATGAGTCAGGTTGTCAAAACGTCGTCCAGCCTTCGTCGACGACGAAATTCTGGGATGTTTCCCGTCGTCGCTAAAACGTAAGTATAAAACTGTACTTTTTGCATGTAAATCACTCTCTTTCCCCCTTGTCATTCAGTACAAGTAGAAATTTATTCTTTGTAGATTGGCAGAATCCAAATGTTAAGCACTTTGTCGATTTCTTCGCTTCCTAACTTGAATTTATTTTTCAGGTTTGGTTTGCCTCAAAAACCTGAGAGTGATGGCGGATCAACCAGTCGAAAAGACAAGTTAGCTTTCCTCTGCTATCTACCGAACCTGTTAGATTAGATGCTGTTCGTTCCCTGACGGTCTATGTTTACTCGTGCACACTAGGTTGTATTATAGGATAAATGTTCATTTTTTCGTGCTAAAATGTCATAATTTCCCATGTTGTTTTTAGCCGCTAGTAAAGGCAAATGTTTCCAGTGGACTCAGCTGGAACATGATGTGGCTATGAGGAGAGCCAAGAGTGGACAAATATGGGAGAACATTGCAGCAGCACTGAATTCTCTTCAGCAGCCGAAACTGTTTAGCGTAACTGCGAGTCAAAACCTGTTCGAGATCGTTAATCGATTTTAACTTCAAACCAAAAACAAAAGCTGCGCGACGAAGAGAACTGTCTCCAAAATCGAATAATCCAGGTGGCAAAGAAAACATTAGCCATTGTCGATTCAACCATCATCATAGCTTATAGGATGCAAATTACAGACGTCTTTGAATGCCATAACAAGACTGTAACGAGACAAAGTTCTTCGCAAAGAAAAATTCGACGTCTCTCTGGGAAGCTGCACTGCTTAAACATCGTTTTCCCCGTCAAAAACGAAACCCTTGACCCAGTCTGCCGCGGTTACGAAACGTCGTCGTCGTCCGATTCGTTGTCGATGCTTAAGTTCCCTACTGTCTCGTTCGAAACCGCAATAGAGAGACGAAAATTTTCTTAAGTTACTTTACCTGATAGAGCTTTTCCTACTAAAACAAATCATCGTCACGAGAAGAAAGAAACATGTACGACAGCTGGCTTTGGTCAAATGACTTTTTTGGCAAGTACCATCAACTTTGCTGGAGGGAGGAGTGGGGCATTGACGCCATTATTACTAGGCACCTTAAGCTACGACAATGACGACGACAACAACGACGTCATAAAACAAATGGCTTTATGAGCAAAACAACTGCTCTGCACGTTCATCACGCTTTTTAGTACATTTCTTTGACGTCCACTGCACGACTACAACGTGAAACCTCCCAATGCGACGTTTTATGTACTACGTGGACATACTACGACAATTTTCCCTTCTCTATTTGAACATGGATAAAGCCCTTAAGAATTCAACTCCAGGAAAAGTCGCCTACATTTGACGATGAGCGGTTCCAAATAGACGCGATAAAGTTTGAAACGACACAAATTCACTTTTTTTTAGTGATTTTTCATGTTTTCACTGCCGTCGTCGTCGTCGCTGTCGTTGCTTGAGGTCCCTACTGTTGTCTATCGTAATTCACTGAAAGACAGATACTTTCCCGATTGACAAAGAACAGTATTTAGATATTATAACCATTGCTATGAATTTGTTTCAAGTTTTTATCACAAAATTTTTTAATATATTTTTTAACCTCTTGAATTTCTATCCCGTTAGTTGTTACTGCTTTTCTCCGTTTAGTACTCCACCCAATCCGTTTTTTGCTCACTACACGAAAAACCGTTAGTGTCCGTTTTCGCTTTCCAGGCCACATATCATTTTCCTACGTCACTGATTTATCAAACACAAAAAACAGGGTAAGTGCGGTCGTAAATTGGGAAGTACCTAAAGATGCAAAAAGGTAGGAAGACAGTAAGCGCAGCACTGTACTTCATTCGATTTCGGAATTACAAACCAATGTTTGCAGACTCAGAGTGTTTGTCACTCTTAAATGTGGAGTGATTTGGTCGTTCCAAATCCCTAGCCTCGAACTGTAGCAGCCCGATTTTACTCTCTCCGACGTTCTTGTTCATCTTTTTCTTCATTTTGGAAAGTACTGTAGGATAGGTTGCAGCTCAATAATATTACAGTTCTTTTTCATAAAAGAAGGTCAGGGTTATGGGCTCCTGCTCAGGAGAGAGCGATCCGAAGAAAGAGACTATGATTCTCTGCATGAGTAATATTTTCATCCCTCTTTTGAAAGAGCAATATCAATCAGTCTAGCTTGTACTGTCCTATCGCGAGGTAATATTGCTGGAAATACTTATGTACAGGAAAACGGTTAGCAACAGAAATTAGAGTTACGAAAAATGATGATGATTACGTAACACTTGCAAAACGTTTTTTAACAAATATAAAGATGATTCAAAAACTTTAAAACATGAAAAAAAAAAGGAAAAACAAAGTAACAATAATCATAGTCAATCCAATGTAACATCATTATTTTATATACATTTGTACAAACCAGATAAGAGGGCAGTCTCAAAAACTTGTGATATAGAAAAATTTCAAGTTTACTCACCTGTAGCTAGTTCCCTTGAGTTCCACGTCAGGCTCCTCCATTTTCGTTCATTTGGGATGATCTGTACCAGGATTATAAAAATTGTAAATTGTCATGAATTGATAAAGATTATAAGGACTCATCAGTCTCAATTGAGGTGAAATGAGACAGCACAAATAAATGATAGAAACTATAGTGAATTATAGTTGACTCTAAAGTAAAACTAAAGTCCTTAAGAAATGTCCGATGGAATTTTCCAACGCCTAAATTTCACTATTAATACAGAGTTAAAAAACACAAAAAGATTCCACTTTCAGTGATCGATATACATGTACACGTAAGTTTTCCAAGATAAACACTTCCATAGCAATGTCCATCATTTCTTTTCTTTTCTTTTACACGTCACCAATTTTTATTGACATCTATATTTGTATTACAAGTAGCTACTAACAAATCAATTGTGTAATTGTCTTGACTACTTTTGCAGTATTTCTGTTAAAATGAAACAAAAAGTCATTGTTTGTGTAAAAATAGCTTCACTTTGATTTCCGATAATATGATAACAAGGGAAAATATAACTGATCTAAATATAAAAAGCATAATAGGGTCATTCCAAGACATAAGAACAGAAAAAAGACCATTTTCAAATAAACCATTCCGGTGCATAGCAAAAAATAAGACACTAGGACTGAAGTTTCAAAAAATGTCAGGACTAACTTCACCCATATCAGTTCTGCCTGTCTTCTCAATGATACTTCAGCGTGCTGTTCATCAATTAATGGTCGCCGACAAGTACATCCGACCTAAGAGTATAATCTGGTTTTCGCCCCCATTACTCAACTTCTACCTGCCTGGCGCATGTAACTAACACCCTCAGCTTCTTCATAACATCGATAGCGGTTATAGTCTTACTTGGCTTGTTTTTTCAGACCTAAGTAATGCGTTTGACACTTTAGACCTCAATGTCATATTAAACAAGTTGTCCCTTAACAGTTTTAATCGGTCTGCCGTACAATGATTTTCCTCTTACCTAACTGGCCACACCCAAAGCATCAGTGTTTAATGGCACTACCGGGAACCAATATTGATTCTGTTTGGGGACCCTCAAGGTAAGGTCCTACAAGTGTAGGCCCACTCTTATTCATAATGCATATCAATGATCTGGTGCTTACTGTTGAAGCACGTTGCATAGAGCTCTGTGCCGATAATATGCTCATTGTTTTCGCAGCTAAAGCTGTTAGCAAGATCGAGCTTAGGCCTTCATCACATCTAGATGGATAAATTAAATGGTTTTTGTCAAATTTCTTGCTGCTTGATGTTTCCAAGATTATAGTAATGCTGATAGCTTACTTCCAGAGGCTTAATGCAGTTGGCCGTTTTTCGGTTGTGGCGGACAAAACCAATTTAGAAAGGGTGGATACTTTTAAATACCTCGGTGTTGAATCTTATCTTGGAATAAGAGCATGTTAGCTCATGGGTAAAAAGAGATCTCCCCAAGATTAGTATTATTGCGTTGCGCTTAAAACGTCCTACCAATGTCTGCTACTTTTACATGGGTGTCACAATGGTCCTGCTTTTTTTTTACTATTGAGCAGTCATTTGCGATAGCAGTAGCCAGGATAGTAAATCCTCCTTAGACAAGCTTTTACCGTGCTGAAAGTATAATCAAGGGTCATGCTGTTGAGTCTGTCTATTCTATTTGGCTGGCTCCATCTGCAAGCACACCTTAACTTCCTTAAATCTGTCCTTATCTATAGCGGTATCAACGGTATAGCACCTTATCTGCTGAGTGAATTTTGGCATGCTCACCAAATCCACTCTCACTTTACCAGAGAACATGATCAGTTGAGGCTGCCTTTGGCTAAATCCACCCAAATACCAGGGCAGCATTAGGCTTAATGGTGCACCTGCCTCCCGTCTAAGATCTGCAATGGACTTTAATACGTTCAAGTCCTTGGCGGAACGACGTCATTTCAAGTGCCAGTCTATCCAATCTTTGCATTTCTATGTATTTTTTAGTGTGCTTTACT